GGCACTTGAAGCGAAGACAACGTAGGCTACATCTATACATCATCCCCCCTCCCTACCAAATAATATATATATTACGAGAGTGCATTTTCTGGAAAATGTGTGATTTCTCCATCATAGCAATTTTAATGTTATTCTGTGCAATCAGTCAGTGTTGTTTTCCAGTTTTACGATTTGGTTAAATACGGGGGATGGGGGTGGGTGGGGGATGCAGAGTTGTACGATATCATGGTTATTCGCGCTTTAGGTGCCTGTGCATCGAAAATTATGTTGTGTTCGCACATATAAATATCGAATACTGGCTATTCATGTTGATCAGAGTGGTCTTTTATAAAGTTAATTCACTCATATCTCACCACAACGTTTTATATGTACCACGTGTATATATTTTATGTTATCCGTACCCTATGCTTTGCTTTTGTACTGGAAACTTCATATGAGAATACCGGTATACATGAAGAGATCAACTCATTCTTGATAATCAAGGTTAAATATGAACAACACATATAATTTATATCGTTTTTGGTATAATTTGTTTTTTCAAGGGCTTTAAACTGGTATCATATTTTCCGTTTTCCGTTCCGTTCCGCTTTCCGTTCCGTTTTCCGTTCCGCGTTTTAGCAACACCCTCATCTGCTCATGGGGCAGGCTTTGCCATGCCTACTACGTATACGTTTATCTTAGAAGACACATTTGTAAATACCATCTTAACACTCCTTAGTCATGGTACAATTAATTCACGTAATGTCTCAAGAGTGTAGGATTCTAATAAGTTAAAGATTATCAGATTATATAATAAGATTCATACGTCACCATTGTTAATATATTCGATCAGTGCATATTATCTATTCAAGATATATTACTAAAGTCAGGTACTCTTCACACAATTGCTCCGACGAAAATAGTTCCATTCATGATCAGCAGATACAAGATTACAACAAATGTTAAGAATAATGATGTATATTTAATACGTTAAAGAAAACAAACTTAACGTAAAAAGATTTTAAGAAAATCATCTTTTCCCCGGAAAAGCAAATAAAAAGTTTTCATATTCCTACGCTCGCTGCCTCCTCAGTCTTTTTCCCGAAAATATATAGGTCATACTTCGATTGATAATGATAAATCTTTTCACCAGTTATATTACTGTCATTATTATTGTTCGTTCATTGCCTTATAATTTCTTTTGAATGGATATATGTTAATCATTAACTGTGTGGTTTTTTTTCTCTCTTTTAATGAATAACGGAATGGTTATTATGGTTAAACACCTGCAATCGTAACCTCTCGGCAAAGCAAGGTAATGTTCCGAGCTCGTCTGAAAGGATCTTCGCACGTGTGTAGACCTAGGCTATTTGGTCTTGCAAGCACAGGTGTGTGCACCGTTTGCTAGAGACGCTTAGATCACGTAGACTGGGTATCAGTATTTGCTACGGAAATGAAGAAGTTTAGAACTATACACCAGTTTCATAAGAAGTGCAGGTTTTTTACTCGAGCCCTAAATTGGGCTAGAGGGGCCGAGTTATCTAAAACGAGACTAGGTCATCGATCTACTCAGTTTAAAAACACGAAAATATACTAAGTTTATCTTCAAAACATCTGTATATTCAAAATCTATATTAAGTGTTAAATGTCGGATTCTATCCTATGACGAAGGAATATTCAGTGATGCTCCATAGCCGCAACCGATCTCGCGCTTTCCTTTGCGTTTAACAACGGCCGTCAATGCATCTCTGGACAAGTTCATTGATTACAAGTTCATTCGTTCTAAAAGGTGACATGTTGACCATCTTTAACATCTGCCTATACTATGGGTGATAGTAATTTAATAGCACAAAATTAAAAAATAAATTAAAATCTATCCTTGATAGATCTATAGTTTTGCTATTAAAAAAAAATGGGCTATCTTTGATAATCCATAACGGCTTGAACTTGATTTGAATTTTTTTTTTTTTTTTACAGAAGATTATATCATTGGAAAGTTAGATGGTACACATGTAGCACAGGCCCATATAGTACGCGGGATTTTTTTCGGAGCTCCCCCCCCCCCCTTCACTTTGAAAACGTTGCTACAGGCCTGTAACATGCTATTTGGTTTAAATATTCCTGAAAATGAACGAGGTGTTAAATACATTTTTAAAATTATACGATTAATTATATTTAGTCTATGTTCTATGTGAAATTAAAACTATTTTTAGCGACTTTGTGATAGTCACTACATGCATCTACATCTAACGTTATATATGAACATGCAGTTTGTTTCCTAGTACATGCATATTTTATTCAACAAAAGATGTTGAAACTCAGTAGCCTAAATATTTTGTCGTTTTAGGATATTTATGGCACTTTTATTATGACTTTCTACAGCTTGAGTATCTCTGACGTTTTGTCAGTAAATACTTGTTTTTTTTATTAGAAATCATCTGAGCACAATGAAAATTCGAATAAATTAAAAGTCGAATATCTTGGATATGGGGTAACCCATATCTATTCTTGTTTTATAACACGAACTAACCCTCTGTGGCCACATGTTGTGGGCGCCAAATGAGAGTAAAACAAAAGCCGCCGTTCTGATAAAAAAAAAACGGACTTTGATGAAATTGTATTTTATAAAGTTTAAAAACAATAAAAAGAAATATTTATATAATCTTATTAAAAAAAACTTTTCAGTCGGCACGTTTAAAGTGGGTCGGTCGCGTTAGGGGAAACAAAGGTATTTTTTATTTTGGCCTTACCAAGAAATTTTTATTCCATTATTTATCTAGAAACTTCAGCCCAATTAAATTTGTAACATACAAAGATTTGAATGTCCTTATATGCAAGAAGTTTTGATGTGATGATTTTTTGCAAGTAATGTCCCTTTTTGAATTATACTGTGTATTTAAAATGCACTGTGCCATTCATTATGTGTTGCTTTGTCAAGTTTTGGGGGAGCGTGGGGTATGTGAGCTTGCTCACTTGTTCTTTCATTAACCTTGTCCATAACTTCTAAACAGCGATGCTAGGGCTTTCATATTTTACGTTTATTTCTTCTGACAAGGCCTTTTGTAAGCACTGGCGGATTTAAGGGGGGGCGTGGGGGGCGCACGCCCCCCCCCCCCCCTAAAATTTTCAAAGTATGATATGACTAATATCAATAAAGCCATACTTTGGTATATAACAAACCAATACCGCTATTTTTGTGCCTGGTTTTACTCTTAAAATACACGAAAACCCAGGAGCTTCCGGGGGCTTCGCCCCCTGGGCCCCCTCTATTCAAAGTATGATATGACTAGTATTAATAATGCCAAACTTTGGTATATATAAACTAACCAATACCCTTATTATTGTGCCTGGTTTTACTCTTAAAATACACGAAATCCCAGGAGCTTCCGGGGGCTTCGCCCCCTGGGCCCCCAGACCCCCTGCCTGAACAAAGTTATCCACGCCCCCCCTAATCACAAATCCTGTATCCGCCCATGGTAAGACCCCGTGACCTTGATCCTGCAGTTTGACTTAACTCATTTAAAAACTTTGACCTTAATCATAATGTGTATTTCCTGTCACAAGGCCTTATTTTGGATACCAACATCTTTTGAACTTAAGGTTTAACATACTTTTGTAAAACTTTAACATTGGCTAATTAACTTTGAACGGTTTGTGCTAGGGCTTTCATATTTAACATTAGTTCCTTGTGACAAGACCATGGGCATTTGTTTCTGTAATAATTTTTTAACCCTTTATAGTATAATAATTATACATGTAATACTATGGGTTAAAACAACAAGTACCTGTGGTAATATATATATTATTAGTGTTGCTTCACATTTGCTTTAAAGCCATGATTTGAAACATGTATTTTTTTTCTACATCATATAAAACCATTTTATTCAGGATTCAAAGTCAATTATAGACAATGCAAATTTTTTTTCTAAAAGATTTATTTTTCTACCATTATATTTTTTTATATATTAAAGATACAAGACAGAATAAAATTAATTATATCAACAACTATTGTGATTAAGGATACAATATTTTATGAAAGGACAAATGGATTAATTCTTCGTAAGAAAATTTCACTTGCCAAAAGAATGAACATTTGCTGTAAGACTGAAATCAGAAAATAGCTTTGCTGGCATCTTATACCTTGCCCTATAAAATAAAATTACACAGCATGTAAAAACTATAGAGGTTCATTCAATGACCACTGGTATGCACATCATGACTGAGACAAGAGTTCAGAATAATTATCACAGATTAATTATTACATGTACAAACATTGCATTGTCATATGCTGCTATAAATTGACTAAGAGTACACAAGCAAACTACATGTACAGTATTTAGAGAAAGATATAATCATTAAAAATTGATTTAGAATAGAACCACTAAATAAATAATTGGAAAATGAATATATTTTGATGCTACATAAAGAGCTCTTTCTAAATAAGTAGATTAATCATTTGAAGCTTCACAACTGAGCGAGAATAAAGAAGAGAGGCAAAACAAAATTAAAAATAAAAATGATAGCCTCTAAATAAATAAAAACACGTTCTACAGCTGGCAAGATCAAATTTTCAGAACTCTTCACTGCACTGGTGGACAGAGCAAATTCTAGACAGAAACCTGCTAATTCTATGAAACAGAACAGATATTTCAGATTTTGTTTTCTTCTCTATCATGACCTCATTAAAAACAAGATATTGCTATTGCAGTTTATTGCAATGTAACATTTTACATTTATCCATTTATATTCATTATTTCCAAATAAAAAGGCTAAATGACCATTTTTATTCTTTGGTATTTTCAATTTCCTCTCCATTTATTTTTGGAGAAAATAATACAAATAATATATGTGTAATCATTTTTTTTGGCTATTTTCTCCAACTTTAATCAAAATAAGAAGAAAAATCAGTTAATTGTACATGAAATGAGAGGAAATAAATGTTGAAATAAATCCAGCATTTAGCCACTGCATAAGCACAATTTAAGTTATTCAGGAGAAGAAACATTGGAAAATAAAATAAAAGTATTTAAGTAAGAACTAGTTTGATTTAGATGCTTGTATATTTTGTTATAATCATATTAAGCAGAAAGAGAAAAAAATAGACTATAAACTGTTGCCATCTAGTAAGCTTTTTAGGATGGTGAATATTGATGAAAAAAGTTTGGGATTGCAATTCTGTAAATAATTCAAATGAAAATATCAAAATATAAAGCATTGGTTAGCAACTCTACATAAAATGATGATGGTTTCTGATATAAACTACAGTTTCAGGAATGTCTGTCATTTCATCTCTAAAAAACACTGCATAAATTTCCCTGCAGTTTGTAGAATGAAAGATTTGAGATCACAGAAAAATAACAATTCCTCACAAGGAACAATCATAAACATGTGTACATGTACTACAGAGTTGGGTGTTTTCTCACACTCGTTCACATAAGAATGAATAAAAAAATACTCATAAAAAAATTCATGGTCCTCTAACTTATACCATCTTCAAATAAATGAATCGATTTCACCCTAAAATAATTGACATCAATTGTTGAAAAATTTCCAAGTATAGTACACATTCATTCACAAACACAAAATATATGTATATATACACTTCATACATTTATATAAATCCTCCACAATACCAAAATAAAAGAATTTACAAAAGAGATAATCAAACAAACACAACTTTTCCACATATCTCAATCTTGAATATATTATCTATGCATATTTTCACAACACATTCATTTGTATTTCTTAATTACTATCAAATTTTTGAGCCATAAAAATACAATTTGTTATAGATTTTTATCCAATAAATTTAAAGACATTGACTTAAGAATGAATATATAAGAATCAATATACAAGCTATCAACTGCAACTTCACATCTCCACCTCTCCACCTAACACAGCTCATTCCACCTGTACCAGTAAACCCGCTGATGAAATGTTGTCTCCACCTCCCCCTGTTTGAACCACCTTAGTACACACCAGAACAGGTGCCACACAAATCTGGTAATCTTTTTCCTCCCAACACGACACTGGTCTGTTCTCCTCCAGTGGTATCCGCTGAGCAGACTGCAGAGTACTTGAGGAAAATGAATCATCCATGATAAGTCTGGCTTTCTCTGTGTCAATGTACTTAGAGTTGCAGACATGTCTAAAAGCTGTCAAAGAGGCTTTGGCAGTGGCATGCATTGTTTTTTTCCACTGGCTTCCTTTCTTTGTCAATATTGCTTGATACGCCAGTGTGTGGACATGAATCCTAGAGACTTTCCTCCTTCCATCTACTTCCTCTGTTTTACTCAGAATGTCATAAACCTGTCTCATTTGGTCTAGTACTGGGGCAATTCTAGGATAAGCATCGGCCACCAGTGTCACTTTTCCCTTTGTAAGAATACTAACCAAATTGGGTAACTCCTGCTCATTCATACCAAGACTGTCTGAGTACAGAACTACATTGTCTCGGATTTCTCTCAGTAATTTTTCATCTGTAAATGATGCTAGTTCAAAATGGATACTTGTTTTTCTTGGTGTTGATGCTAATAAATTCTTTAGTTTGGTTATTCTTCTTATTCTTTCTCCTGAAAAATAAATGGGTTTTCAGTTTATGTATATTAAAAAAAAAAATACATTGAATCTAAAAATTAGAAAACAATATAATACAGTAGTTTAAGTAAATTTTAACAAGTATAAAGCAAAAACTTTCAACAAAATGTGATTACTGATGGTAGTTGAAACTTGCGACAATGAAATCTGATTTTAAAATTAAGAGGATCATATCACACTGTGACACAACACAAATAACCTTGCTGTTCCTAAAGAAACAAGAGGCCCAGGGGCCACATTGCTCACCTGAGCACTATGGCTAGGAAATAGCAGAAATCAGTTCAGTCTTGAAAGGTTGAAAAGTTTAAATAAAAAAGTGGTTTGGGGGGGGGGGGTCATGAATGAACAAATTTGAATCTACATTATCTGAGGATGCTTCCATTTAAATATGACCAATCATGGCTTTGCTGTTCTTGAGTAGAAGATTTTTAAAGATTTAACCTATGTATTCCTATGTAAAACTTTGATCGCCCATTGTGGCCCCACCCGACCCCGAGGGGTCATGATTTGAACAAACTTGAATCTACACTACCTGAGGATGCTTCCATGTAAATCTGACCAATCATGGCTTTGCTGTTCTTGAGAAGAAGATTTTTAAAGATTTTTCCTATATATTCCTATGTAAAACTTTGATCGTCCATTGTGGCCCCACCCGACCCCCGGGGGTCATGATTTGAAAAAACTTGAATCTACACTATCTGAGGATGCTACCATATAAATATGACTAATCATGGCTTTGCTGTTCTTGAGAAGAAGATTTTTTAAAGATTTTTCCTTTATATTCCTATGTAAAACTTTGATCGCCCATTGTGGCCGCACCGGACCCCCCAAGGGTCATGATTTGAACAAACTTGAATCTACACTACCTGAGGATGCTTCCATGTAAATATGACCAATCATGGCTTTGCTGTTCTTGAGAAGAAGATTTTTAAAGATTTTTCCTATATATTCCCATGTAAAACTTTGATCGCCCATTGTGGCCCCACCCGACCCCCAGGGGTCATGATTTGAACAAACTTGAATCTACACTATCTGAGGAGGCTACCATTTAAATATGACCAATCAGGGCTTTACTGTTCTTGAGAAGAAGATTTTTAAGATTTTTCCTATATATTCCTATGTAAAACTTTGATCGCCCATTGTGGCCCCACCCGACCCCCGGGGGTCATGATTTGAATAAACTTGAATCTACACTATCTGAGGATGCTACCATATAAATATGACCAATCATGGCTTTGCTGTTCTTGAGAAGAAGATTTTTAAAGATTATTCCTATATATTCCTATGTAAAACTTTGATCGCCCATTGTGGCCCCACCCGACCCCCAGGGGTCATGATTTGAACAAACTTGAATCTACACTACCTGAGGATGATTCCACATAAGTTTCATATTTTCAAGCACACTGGTTCTTGAGAAGAAGATTTTTTAATGATGCCATTAATTTTTCACGAATTCTTAATTATCTCCCCTTGGAAGAAGGCGTGGCCCTTCATTTGAACAAACTTGAATCCCCTTTACCCAAGGATACTTTGTGGCAAGTTTGGTTGAAATTGGGTCGGTGGTTCTTGAGAAGAAGATGAAAATGTGAAAAGTTTACAACAACAACAACGACAACAACGACGACAACGATGACAGACAACGGACAAATTTTGATCAGAAAAGCTCACTTGAGCCTTTGGCTCAGGTGAGCTAAAAATTCAAAGCATTCAATTTCTTCACAAATATTTGTAAAAATATGTACATACAGCACTTCATAGGGTCAGTTTGGACAGATGGGGTGAATATTGCAAACAGGTTTGATGTAAATGCCCTCAGCTTTGGATACTTTGCAAATGGGAAGCATATTTAGTATGTTTACATCTCTGTGATGTGTTTCCAAAGTATAGGTTTAGGCAAAAAAAAATTAATCAATAGTTTCTCAGGCACCGCCGCATCAGGTCAAACACTGCCGCATTGATTAATTTTATTGAAAAAGGAAATAACTCAATTTTCTATTTTTCCAAGTTGAAAAAAGAAAATTGAGTTATTTCCCTTTTCATAAATGCTAATAGATAGATGTTTTTATTAGATAATCAATACATTTCTTGTTTATACAGTATTTTATGAATTAACTTTGTTTGGAATAACATTATTTAAAGTTGAATACATATTATTATTAATGTAAGAGAACAAAAAAAGTAAGAACCAGTTGGTATCATCATCTTGTTGAATGACTGACATGAAAAAAAGGTATAACACCTGCTTCCAAAAAAAAAAAAAAGAACCTGCCTGTCGCATTGAATTTTGAAATTTTTGGCCTGAGAAACTATTAATTTTCTATGGCCTTATAGGTATTAGTGCATAATTATTAATATGATGTGTGGTACACAAGCCAACATAATTTGAATGTGTTTTACATAGTTACAAGCATGAATAATTCTGCTATTTTTTCTATTTACAACTTGAAATCTGTCCAGGCAATCTGAAAATTTTTACTGAATTTTGTATTATCTTCACCGTCTTCAAAGGGAAAATTATCCAGCATCTGCAAACCTCCGACAACTAATGCTGCTGGTTTAAATGTCTTGATCTCGGCTTCCAGTCCCTCTAAGGTTTCTATAAAAGGATTGCTTTCATCACTGTGTACAATCAATCTACAATCAAAAGTTTTAATACATTTCATTTGAAGATTTGCTTTCACAGATGATGTGTATTTTAAAAATTAAATTTTATCTATACTTTCAAAATTTGTTATTCAGGAAAAACAAAGGGATATTGTGAAATTCTTTATATACTGGATACATGTACCTGTTGGCTCTTGGTGAGATAAACTTGCCCCACTTGTCCCCAGATTTATATTCCAAAAGCAGATGAATATCATTTACATCTAAATCTTCTCCAACAACTGCCAATAAAAGTGACATTAAAAAAGATAAGAATTTCTAAAACAGCATATTTTAATTTTATTTTATTACGGCCTCATTCCTCTAAATGTGTTAATTTAGTAATAATAAATAGAACACAGAAGAACGATGAAACATATTCCATTCTGACCTTTCACTGTGTCAGGTAGAGTTTGTCTAAGTTCCTTGGTAAATCTTGCCCCCAGAAGCACTTCTGCACCCTCATTAGCCATTCTCCTAGCCATTACTGGTGCATTTCCTCCCAAGATGGATTTGTGGTCAGCCATAGAAAAGGCTGTATCTGTCAATTCCTTAAATAATGTGTTGTTGCTGACATATCTCCTACAAACACATGTAAATTATTTAGGCCAATACAGAAGCAGTGGTTATGATACCTCTAAATGAAAACAAAAAGATTCTCTATATATTAAACCTTGTTACAAAATCTTTTCTGTTTGATATTTTTCATCTCCTTCTTCTGCTTTTAAAGCAATATGAACTGCATTTTTGAGAATTTTATTTTGCTGTTAAAATGTGTTATTATGATAAATTTGTATCTATTTTAAACCTTTTTGATCAATTAGACAGAAATAAAGTATCAAATTGCTTCAGAATAAAGGATTATGTACAATCAAATTTATAGTATAAGAAATCAATGATGTACAGGATGATAGTAACGTACTTTTGCTTCAATCAAAGCTTATAAATAGTTCTTCCATCACAAATATGAACAACAGAAGTTAATAAACTTTTTTTTCTGTCATTGAAATAGTTAATTACAATTTTGCAACAAAAATTTCTGACATCGAAGTTGCAGTTCATATTGCTTTAATAATATTACAATCAATTCAGCATGTGGATTATATTCAAAACAGTATCCCATTGGAATTTGAGAGTTTGTAATCAATGAATTCATTTGAGAACTGATATAAAACTAATTACAGTCAAACCTCGTTATCTCGAACCCAAGGGGACAGAGAATATACTTCTAGATAACCGAGAATTCGAGATATCCAGGGTCAAATACTTAAGGAATAAACAGCCGGGACTTCAAAATCACTTTGACATATCCATGGTATTCGAGATACATGTATCCATGTTCCAGATACCGAAGTTCAACTGTATTTGTCTTCTCAAATCATGACACAGGACATACATCATCTAAACCTTACCTGTGTGGTCATAACAATGAACCAATTTTAGTGCTTAATAAATTTAAAGATATCTGACAACAGTATTGTATAGAAACTTAACATATTCCTGCAGGCTGTGAATATGCTTCAACTTCTTGATTGCAAACAAAGGCATTTGTAAAAAAAAAAAAAGCATGTTCTAAATTTTTGAAAATGCTTAAATAAGAATATGAGCATTATATATCATATAAAAATATTGTCCATTAAAAAGAAATTCTTTCATTTGACTCAAAATTAGAATCTTACTGGATTAAACCACTTCATATCAAAGATGACATAAAAACTACTGGTAAGTTGAGTTATGACTTTCCTTTAAGAACTCAAAGGTGCACTAATTTACTAAAAAAATGCCCAAAGACCCAAAGACCCAAAACAATAGGGAGAAACCAACTAACACTGAAAAATTATGTGGTTTATTAAAATAAATAGAGATTTTAAGAAAATATTGTATTTTCATTATGTTTCAATTTGTACACGTTGAATATTACATTTAGCCATAAACAGTTAGTTACAAGCAACAAACTGTAATAAATTACTTTTTCTAAAGAGTTTCCCCCACAATTTCAAGAATATTTATTAAAAACCAGAATCTCTGATGAGACTGAAGCTCTACTGATCTATACTTATAAACAAAGGAAGAGAATTGAAGTAATACTTAAAGTAACTAAAGCAACTGCAAAAAAAAAAAAAAAAAAAAAAAACAAACTACAAAAAATCTTAAAACAGAGGCCCATGGGCCACAATGCTCACCTGAGTAACTATCAGTATACTTTTTCCCTACATATTCTTATGTAAAACTTTGGTCACATACCCCAGGAGTCATGTTTTGTTTGTTTGGATGTTTAACTTCCTTTTGAGAATTTTTCACTCATATTGAGATGCCACCACTTAGCAGTGGAGGGCTGCAAATTTAGAACAGTACTCAGTACTTATCGCTTTTGAGCAGTGAGGGATCTTTTACGTGCCTGCACATACTGCAACATGGGACTTAGGTTTATACAGTCTTATCAGTGGATTCGAACCCACAATGTAAGGATCAACTCCCAACGCCATGACTCTAGACCAATTATTAATGCTCTAACCACTGCAGGCGACTCATTTTTTGAACAAACATCAATCTACACTAACTGAAGATAACCTCAGATTTGTTTCTAAAAGATTATTCAGATTATTTTCCTATAATGTGTTTAGGTAAAAGTAGAAGTTTTGACACAGCTTTTTACAGTGATCACATACTCTGCAGCAGCTCCATGCTGGAAAAAGTAACCAAACAACTCAGAAAGCTCCTCCTTAGTCCCAACTGAGTCATGATGCTTTGGTTTTCCTGGCGCTTCTAAGTTAAACTTGTCGATAAAAGTCATTCCATCTACAATCAAGTCTTCACAGCCACCAAAACCTAGTGCTACACGGGTTCTTGGAGCATCTATCTTCTTCTCTGCCCTCAGAAGCCCTGACAAAATATGGCTCATTCTCTCTGCACTCGCCGAACTTCTATCAAAGTATAGTTTTGCAAGATACGCAAAGACAATCACAAGTGAAGAAAACGCCGCAATCGTTTTCATAGCCATTGTTGATGTTGCCTAAAATTGTTCAAAATTTTCCGCAATTAATCTTTTCTCAACTTTCCTTACTTAAAAAAAGTCTAAGATGTGTACGAACGTGCATTTAAACATGCATTTTTAAAGCCATCCAAGGACCGGGCAAGGTGCCTGTCAACGTCGACAAAATACCGGAAATAATAACACACTTACTAAAAATAAAACTTGTTTAAGGAAAAAAATGTTTCCGGATTTCGCTCGACAGATAAATAAATGTACCACTTTTGTTGCATTTAAAATAACATCCAAAGTGAGACCAGGTATGAAAAGGTTCAGTATTTAAAAAAAACCCTTCTCACATTTAGCAAGAGACCCAATGACCTTTACGGTCACCAGAACATTGTGAATTTCAGAGAAATTTTAAAGAAAGATTCCAACACATTATATAGCTGGAAAACTATATTTAAAATACACCACACCTATGGACATAAACTCAACAACGTTACAAGGTCTTGGAAACAATATCTTTACCCTCTTTAGCAGGCCCGTAGAAACGGTTTCACAAGTAGGGGGGGGGGGCAACTCCACCCCCACCCCCCAAAAAAAAATCTGACAGGCAAAAAAAAAAAAAAAAAAAAAAAAAAAAAAAAAAAAAAAAAAAAAGCTGACCAATGAGGGGGGGGGGGGGGCAACTTCCAAAAATCATCTGACAAGCAAAACAAAAAAAAATAAAATAAATAAATAAAAAAATGAAAATTGTTAAAAAAAAAAAAACAATTTACTGTCCAAATCCTGAAATTTGTCAGTGTCGACCTTACAACACCAAAAAGTGGGGAGGGGGTCAACCAGCATCTAAAGGAAATTTTACTATAGCAAAATACTATACTCAGGAAAAAGTGGCCTCCGCATTCTACGGGCATGTTAAGCACCTGTTTCTGTTACGTCTCAGAATTTTTTGATTGTCATAGCATGATTTGCAAAAGCGATGATTTTTCTAAATTCTGATCATATGATTTCATGGATTTTTAGCTGCAGAACTGTAGCGTTATGATTTTATAATAGTTTTTGACCATAACGCTACTGATAGCGTAATGCAAATATGGTCTGCAATTTTCTGCGCACGGTTGGGGTGAAATTTTCCCATTTCCAGTATTAGTCAACAATCAACTACCTTTCGCTCTCTTATTCTAGACATATTCTTTAACCATCCTGTATATTTTATCCTCCTCCTAACCCTTTACAGTTGTCTCTACAGATCAATAAACTCGATTGCATTTAATTTTTTGTCGGATGGCAGAAAATTCAAAACAAGCGAGGACATTTTCCTTTTTTGCAGTCATCTTTTTGTTTGCGAGGACAATTTCCTTTTTTTCAATCATATTTTTTGTTTGCTTGTCAATTATTTTTCGCTGCCCCTTTTGATACTATGTGCCTGTTCTGGACACCTATGTAATAAAATAAAATTTATTTTCTATTGAACTGTACATGTAAATCAGATGTCTTTTACATGAAAACATGTATGAAACAGATTGGTTTAAAGATTATGTGAAAAAAAATGCTTGTAATAGTATTACTGATCATGCCCCTGATGTTCTTAAGAACAAGATTTTTAAACGTTTCCATTTCCATGTAAAACTTTATCTCCTATTTGTGGCCCCACCCTACCCCCGGGGGCAATGATTTTAACAAATTTGTATCTGCACTAGCTGAGGATGATTGTCCCTTAATAATACTAATCATGGCCCTCTTGCTCTAGATAAGAAAATTTTAAAACATTTTCCCACATTCTTTGGGAGGGGGGGGGGGGGTGAACTTAAATCTACACTATGTCAGGAAGCTTCCACATACTGTTAAGTTTCATCTTTTCTGGTCCAGTGGTTCTTGGAAGATTTTTAAATGATCCAACCTAATTTTCACTATTTCTTATCTATCTCCCCTTGAAGGAAGATGTGGCCCTTCATTTAAATAATTTGAATCCTTTTTATCGTAGGATACTCTGTACCAAATTTGGTTGAAATTGGCCCAGTGGTTCTGTTAATGAAGTTGAAATTGTGAAAAGTTTACGACAACAAGTCACACAACAGACAAATTTCAATCAGGAAAGCTCACTTAAGGTGAGCTAAAATACCGTAAACGCATTATCCAAGATGACTAACCAAGGTCAAAAGAAGACACCACCAAAAGAACATTATATATGTACATAGCTTAAAATGCAAACATATTAAACTTCTGATTTTCAAATATTGCTGTGAAATATGTGAAGCAGCATCCAAAACTTTATATCAGGACAAAACAAACTAAATTATTTCAAGTTGAGCAAATAAGTGTTTGCTGGAGATTTGTTTTCAGAAATTCCTTTCTGTGAAAATATACTCAGAAATCCCTTGAACTCTTTTGAAACATCAGTCAAAAATTGCTTTGGGCATATCATATTGTTACATACGTATTATTGGATAATACTCTATGGACGTATTCTAAAAAGGTCCTAAAGGATGACTGCACTTAAGGACATGCGGAATTTGCGACAAAATAAACTTTCAAAACAAACATTTTTCTTTTCATTGCAAGAATGGTCAACATCCAATCTACAACTTTATCTAATTACGTTTAATAAAAGTGTTTATTTACGAAGTTCGAATCTGTTTTCAAAGGCAGGGGTCATCACAATTTCTTAAATCTCCGTTCGATTTTGAGGACGCCCACTTTTTCACTGACTTTATACATAGTCAGCGCATGTTTGTCTATTGTTCTACGTTTAACAATAGTTGTATATTTGCATAAATAATAATGTGTCAAAAGGAGATTAATAGACAAACATGCGCTCATGGTTAAAAAGAGAAAAAACTGCTTCTTCTTACATTCGTTCTCTGTGTTGTAACCAAGGATTGTGACATGTTGAATATTATAATTCACCACGTGATTTCTTACCTCAGGTAACTTTGTGAATACTTAATTCCGTCGCGTGACTTGTAAGGTAGCATGTGCTAACTAGGACATTGTGTTCGAACACGTTTAGTCATCTGGCATTGATATAAAATCTGCTTTAATTACATTGACGTGCTCATATTGTTAATTTCGTTTTGAAACCTTTGTCAGAAGTGTATTTGTGCCATACAGAATGGAGAGGGAGATTTGAAAGAGTGGTCACGTTCTTTTTTCCAAACATGTCATTGTTATCTATCAAGTCTAATTTTAGACTCATTCTTACAATATTAGCTCCACCTCTCATGCATACGTAATGTTCAATCAAGGGCAGGTAAGTGTAAATTCACTATATTTGGAAAGCAGTAAGGACAAAAAACATTGAATCATTTTATTGTATCACAGTCTAAAATCATTTTAAGATTTAAATGTGGTTCCAAATTGACAGTATTCTTTCATAAACATACAAAAGTGAGATAAGGTTTAGAAATAAAAGCAACAGAAGCAACCGAAAAAGACCCAAAAACAGGCGTTAAGTGCAGTCATCCTTTGTCAAAAATATATCATTGTAAAAATGTATAAATTACCTGCAGAACTCTTCAAAAGAAGGTAAAAAAATTGTTTGTATTATTTAACCTTCCAGCCAAAGTTTGCTCTGAAACTGTTGTTGTTAATGAACTGATATCACTGCAATTTAAAATTATTCTCTCTAAAATTTACATTATACATGTATATACTGTAAACCCTTTGTAGCAATAAATAAAAATACATTTAAATACAATCTGTTTTACTATGCATCAAAACTGACTCACCCAAGACAGTGTGTTGTTTAGTATTCTAGTACTTGTATCTGACACAGTAAGTCAGAATGGATGGTGCATTAAGCTTGATACATGTACATTTTTACATTCAGTACATTTTATAAATTCATAGCTAGGAGTAACAATAAAGAAGTTTGTGAAAGTTCTGCATATTTCAATGATTCAAAATTGAAATTATCCAATAAATATAATGTCTCTATACAGGCTAGTACATTCCAGACAGTGCAAATACATCTGGTTCAAAATGTAAATTTCTTTATAAATACAGTCTATGTGCTAGGATAAAGTCCACATTACATTTGAATCATCTTCTAAACAATCCGAGTAAAAGTCAGAATCTGATGACATCAGCAACTGAATGTCAAGAGTTTCTTTCTTATGTAGCCAATCAGAAATAGGCCGAGGTAGGGAATCCCACTGACTTCCTAATCTGACACGGAATCTGTAAACACACTCTATGCAGAGCCTGAAATGTAAATATGAGGCAAGTTATTTAAAGATTAGTGAATGTGCTCTTAGTAAAAGTTAACGAATAATACCAATTAAGCATTAATATCTTCTTTTTTTTTCTTATCAATTTTCAAAATTAGTATGCATTGTTAACTCATTGTTAACATTTTCCCATAATAACTAAATTTTGAAATCTTAATTTAAACAGAAGACATATACAATGCACTATATTTGAATTTTCCACATAAATATATCCTGAACACAAAATCAAGCACTTACTTTTTCAGTGTGTATGGTTCAAACTGGAATTCTAAAATGTCATTCTTAATCTCCTGTACATAAAAGATAATAAAATGATCTTTGAACAGGAACTACAAAATATCAAATACACACAGGCTCATACTGCTGTAATGTTTGTGACTTTTAAACAACAGATACTCACACATATACTGTCATAGTCCAGTATGTTCTTTTCACAGCCACCGTAGATCAGGACATCTTGATCCTGTGTAACACATGCAGTGTGCCAGAGACGACATCGATTCTGAGGGAAATGTGTTAACTGAGTCCACTGTAGGCTGTTGATATTTAAAATCCAGGAATCACCTGCATGTTTCGTAAAAAAACCTGTATCAATGTTCTTATTTAAGTTATTCATTGTAGCAGCCAAAATATGGAGAAAAATTAAGTAATATTTTTAACTAAAATTGCTTCCACAAGGTACCTCCTATTTTTTGTAAATATACTGCCTGTTTCTAATCTTTTTGAAAGCCCTGAATTGCAGCATATAACAAGCACCACATAAAACAAGTATCAGTTAATTCAAACAACTGATTATGCAGGGGAAAAAAGATTTTGAATTTCATTTACAGTACCAGTACACTTTGCCATCTTCAATTTAAATTGTTAAACTGATTTTGGAAAAGTCAGAAATAAGAAAATTTAGAAATACAAATGACATACATATAAGAAAAACCATACAAGTATGAGCTTCAATGTTGTGAAAAAATAAAACTAATGGAAGTGGTTTACTGCCCAAATGCCAAATGAGCATTAATTACATTAAAAACCAGCAGTACTCACTGAGGGGCTGGCAGTCAGTGGTGAAGCCTCCATACACAAACATTCTGTTGTCAGAAAGACCTACAGCAGTGTGCCAGGACCTGCCTTCTGGTTGACAGCCATCAATGAACAATCTTAAAGTGAAAAAATGCAGACATCAAAAGGTCACCAGATAAAAGTAGAAATTCTGAAGTTATCAAAAGTATAGGAGTCCAAAACTCCATATTTTTTATAATGTATTTATTTTATTTTATTTATTTATTTATTCCTCATGCTGTCTCATATATAAAGGACTCTCCTATGGCAAAATAACATTTTAGCATGTTTTTGGAGATTGTTAAAGATAGGTGAGTCTGACTTACCTTTCACTCCATGACAGTGAGTTCAGACTTGTGAAACTGACTTACCTTTCACTCCATGGCAGTGAGTTCAGACTTGTGAAACTGACTTACCTTTCACTCCATGGCAGTGAATTCAGACTTGTGAAACTGACTTACCTTTCACTCCATGGCAGTGAGTTCAGACTGGTGAGTCTGACTTACCTTTCACACCCTGACAGTGAGTTCAGGCTGATGAGTCTTCACTTATCTTCCACTTAAAGACAGTGAGTTCAGACTTGTGAGTCTGATTTACATTCCTCTCCATGACAGTGAGTTCAGACTGGTGAGTCTTAACTTATCTTCCACTCAAAGACAGTGAGTTCAGACTTGTGAGTCTGATTTTACCTTCCACTCCATGACAGTGAGTTCAGACTGTTGACTCTGACTTACCTTTTACTCCATGACAGTGAGTTCACACTGGTAAGTCTGACTTACCTTCCACCCCATGACAGTGAGTTCAGACTGGTGAGTCTTAACTTACCTTCCACTCAAAGACAGTGAGTTCAGACTTCTGAGTCTGATTTATTTTTCTCTCCATGACAGTGAGTTCAGGCTGGTGAGTCTAACTTATCTTCCACTCAAAGACAGTGAGTTCAGACTTGTGAGTTTGACTTACCTTCCACTCCATGACAGTGAGTTCAGACTGGTGAATCTGACTTACCTTCCACTCCATGACAGTGAGTTCAGACTGGTGAGTCTGACTTACCTTCCACTCCATGACAGTGAGTTCAGACTGGTGAGTCTGACCTACCTTCCACTCCATGACAGTGAGTTCAGACTGGTGAGTCTGACCTACCTTCCACTCCATGACAGTGAGTTCACACTGGTGAGTCTGACTTACCTTCCACTCCATGACAGTGAGTTCAGACTGGTGAGTCTGACTTACCTTCCACTCCATGACAGTGAGTTCAGACTTGGGAGTCTGACTTACCTTCCACTCCATGACAGTGAGTTCACACTGGTGAGTCTGACCTACCTTCCACTCCATGACAGTGGGTTCAGACTGGTGAGTCTGACTTACCTTCCACTCCATGACAGTGAGTTCAGACTTGGGAGTCTGACTTACCTTCCACTCCATGACAGTGAGTTCACACTGGTGAGTCTGACCTACCTTCCACTCCATGACAGTGGGTTCAGATTGGTGAGTCTGACCTACCTTCCACTCCATGACAGTGAGTTCAGATCCAGACAATGGACATCATTTAGCCTGAGGTTTAAATGTCGCCCTCCAAAAATATAAACCTTGCTACCAAACCTCACTGCTGTATGGGCAGCCCGGGCAGAGGGCTTAGGACCCTGTATTCAAAGCAAAACTTATACAATTAGGATAATTGAATATGCATACACATTCTAAGATTATAAGAGTTTTTCCCCTAAACTTCCATTACAGTCCCTGATTATTGCAGATAATTATAGGTAGGTAGTACACACTAATAAGTTCTAAAAACATAATTGCATCAGATGTTATTCTATATTCTCAGGTATGTAAATCAGTAAATGAGAATAAAATTGAATTGTTAACTGTTCTAAATCTAAGTGAACTGGAAAAAGATCAATTTACTTATAGTAAGCAGCCTCCTTTTGTACATGTAATTGACTTTAACCCCAATCCCCCTTAGTAAAGGATGATGTGACATACGGCCCCCGGTAAATTGACAAAAAAATAAATATCTAAATTTTACTCTAATTTTTGCATGTACTTAATCACTGATATGTATACCCTCATAAAATACTACTTTTACTGAAAATAGAAACATAATTTGGAAGATATTTGTCTTTATTTTGAGTAGGGCTACCATGCTTATATCCAATTTCCATTGAATTTTGGCCCCGCCCCACTCTTTGTAGCCCTTGAAATATACGAGTGCAAGTAGGTACATTTTTCTCCTTTGGCTGGTCACTGTATTTTATTGAAATCTACCTATATGTGAAAGGAGAAAAATGTACCTAACTGCGCTCACATGTTGTTTTTGAAAAATTGTAAAATCTAGCTGGCCTCTCCCATTTTGAACAGATCGACGAAACTATTTTTTCTGACGTAAGAATAAATTCATATGCTAATCGAGGCACTGGCGATACTTTCTAACTGACCAATCAGCTAAATGAGTTGCATTACTAGTGAGTACTACAAAAATACTAACGACATTTTATGCTTGGAAAAAAGGTTGTTGTTTTTTTTTACCTGCTTTCCGATAAACAATTTTTTATGCATTTGAGTCACAGATTAGACACGGATCTACAATTTCCCAGCTCACATTTACAAACAATTGATTTAAAAATATACATAGTTCAAAGTTTTGTAAAGCGTTTGGTGGGCAATTCGCTAGGTCTACACGTATTCCCTAGAATCAGTGAATAGAAGTTTCATGTGCATTTCTTGACCCAAAATGGTAAACGCTGAGGTTCCATGCGTATTATTATATATGTATAAGTAGCCTTGGCTGACCATTCAAAGTTTGAAATGTAGTAGAGATATTGTGTAAATTGACCTAAACCACGTGCCTGTGATAAAATGTAAACATGTAGTAAACCAGCATGTTTTGTCGTTCTGTCATCGGATTGGACAATTGTTCTCGGTAAGCGACTATGTGCGAAATAATAACAATAGCCATAAAAGGTAGATTCCTCGGACATGCTTATCCCTCTATTGTACTTAGACCCGCCTATTCTCTTTTCATAAAAGAACATATTGTCACAAACCAGGCCGAACTTTGCTGTCATAGGGTCTAAAAAATCATAGATAATGCAGTAATCCTTATAATTAAAATGTGTTGGAACTACTGAAACTATTCAAAAGGCGTCGTAATTATTCACTCATGTTTGAAAACTATCAAAATCGTTGTAGTTCAAATATAATTCGTTGTAGAAAAAGGGGCCCCAGATAGCAGTTATGTCATATCATCCTTTCCCATATTTTTATATCTGCATTAAGCAACTCATCCTTAATCACAGAAGTAATAGCTGGTTTGTTGTGATTTATGATTCTAATTTGCCAGACTGGGACATGGAACTAGTGTTTTTTACATAAACTATGAAAGTGACTTACACTGTTCCATTATGCCAGTACATGTAATCCTTTTCTAATAGCCTTCAAAATTAATTAACTATGTGTTCTGGATTTATTCTAGGAACTTACCACATTGTCTGGAATACTCCACTCCATTGTGGTCACATCAAAAACACACAGCTGATTGTTCCAGCCTCTCTAATAAAAGAAAATCAGTAAAACAGCTATAACTACATTAAAGCCAGATAGTGAAAATATTTACCAGGCAAACATCAAGTCAACCTACCCCCAACATTCAATGGGGAGTAATTCTATATACTATAGATTTTTCCAGACAATTTATACATACCTGTTCTGGAATTTCATCTTGAAAGAAGGACTTGCCCTCTCCCATATAACCTTTTGTAGGCACTCCAAAACCTCCAAATGTATAAAACCTAAAACATCAAACATAGGAACATGTCTGTAGCTTTCTTTCTTTGTTTATTAAAATAACTTTTTTTTAAATAGAGCATGTATCTTTATACATCATTTAAGGTCATGCAGGGGCTCTTTAACAAAACAACTATGTCTGACTTATAAAACCAAGTCTGATTTGCTCAAAACACACTGCCAACTGAAAAATATTTTTAAAATAATTTTTATACGTATTATAAATTGAGCAGATTTCAGGAGAGACTGATATTAATTTTAGATACAGTTAACTGTACTTCATTTTCTACTTAAGGTTCATAATCCCTCTCTCCACTTATATAAAACTAACAATCTTCCCAATGAAATCCAATTTATAATATTGATATACACACATTTCAACATACCTTACGGGGCAAAATTTGACAGAAATGGCCTATTAACTTAACAGTTTTATAAAGAAATAATAGTAATTTAACCAAGTAAGAATTACCTCTCTTATCAGAGGGCCATTGAACCTTAAACTTCCAATATTCAATCTCTCTTGCTAAGTATTTCACTGCTATTTTCATGCTTCATTACTACAAACCTTCCCACAGTACAAACTTTCTCTCATTAAATACTGAATACTACACAGCTAATCTTATACTTCTGCAATACTAACTTTTTCTCATAGTACCAGGACACTGCTTTGTCTCGAGGACTGGGGGTCATTTTCTCATTTTTATCCTGAGGAGTCATTTTCTCCCACTCCAATGTGCTCAGATCTAATCGAAAAAGATCATTGACGTTACCATAGCGTGCATGGCCACCGAATAGATACATATATCCATCACCTAAACAGACAGTGGACCCAGATGCTGCAACAGGATGGACATTACATCTTTCAAAATACCTATAAAAAAAGATTAGGATTCAAGAGAATATTACAACAGTGATATGTACAGTAAAACTTCAATAGAACGAACGCAGACATAACAAATTCATGGATATAGAGAAGTTAATAATTCCTTGTAACATTTTCAATGATAACAAATACTGATATAATGAATTTATTGACATAGTGAACTGATTTTGTGTCCTGTAAAGGTTAAAAATAAAAAAAAATTACATCTTCTACAGTGATTTTTTAAAGATAACAGAATTTAAAATATTGAACTGAGATTTATTATAATTTTTCAAAAATATTTGAAATTCATCACAAAACTTTATTTCACCAAGGTAAAGAATTCACAGGTTCCCAGGACTTTGTTATACATGTAACTGAGTTTTACTGTACATAGTAATAGTAAAGAGTATAACCTAGCTACTATAATACAAAATAATTCAGATTTAATTATGTACATGAAATTTCCTATTATTTGAAATTGCTACACTAGTAAACTTCATCTGAATTGTTTTGAACATGTGAAATAATTTGCAAAAAAGGGTCAACATCATTGTATAATACTTTTCACTTTTTTGAATTTTTCTAATTGTACACATAGCATACACTCACCGTTAGTAAACATTACTCATACAACAAGTCACATATATATAGTAAGAACATTTTTGTAAAAGAATAAGCATTTCACATAACTATTTGTGTTATGAATTTGCAAGATGATTTTTAAAAATACCTACCAAACTTTAAATTCTGTATTGTAAATCCACAATTCATTTGCTGGTAGATATTTTTCTGTGTAGGGAGGATTGAAATCATCCTTTATAAGAAAAGATAAAAATAAATTGTTAGGTCTACATAAAAATAACAAAAATTGTTTGCAGTTGCCCACAGACCCTGTGGTCCATATAGCCCAAACCACTACATACATAATATAGTATAAGAAATATGTATTTATTTAACAGAGTTATAAGATGGGGGATTGTGTGGAGAACGTCAAATATTGATCGAAATAAAATTATAAATACAGTATGCATGTTTGTTTTGATTTTCCGACTCCTGATCCATCGCATCATTCATTAAGTAAAGCACTTACATTGTATCCTCCCCATACTATCATGTATTTATCTGAACATACTGCTACATGTCCTATCCGTTCTGGAGGATTTCTAACTAACTTTATTCTGTCACAATCATCACTGACACTGTTACAGTTACTTTCACTTGCCATGTTTTGATGGTTGTCATTTTCTGAATATCGAACCCGATGCTGGATTAATTTTTACTCGCAGTACGTTTTACAGCGGTAAAAAAAAAAAACTTTCTATTTACTGAAATGATCTCTAATGTATGAGTAATTTTCTTATATAAGGATTTTTTTCTTTTATAAATACAGTACTACTTAATTTAAAACAAGAGGCCCAAGGGCCTTAACGGTCACCTGAGTATAATGATCCATAGATTAAAACAAAATATGCTGAAAAATGAAGCTACGTTGCCCAAAAAGCAAGAGAAATAGGATGACCAGGAATCAGCAAAATATTAATTTAGTACTCAGTAACAAATCTTAAAGTTGATCTATTTATTTGCCTGTACTTTCCCCAGTTTGTCACTATCCTCACTATCCTGACTAAACAAAACAATAGTTCTAAAGCATTAGTTAACATTCCCCCTCACATTGGCCTCTCCTAGGCTTTGAAGATTATTTAATGTACAAAGATATAATATTTTGTCCCATTTTCATTTATCTATTATTTAAAAGTCTACATGACTATTAAAAACTATGAAAGTACTTTTTGTGTTAAATATTATCAAAAATTCTTGTATAACTATAATTCTGTTATTCAATTGACCTTTTAAGTTTACTTTATTCACAGTGATTAACTATCATAGATGCATAGCAAAGAGGAATAACTTCTTTCAGTAGAAATTTATAAACTGACCAAAGGGTACAGAATATCACCCTTGCTTATTACAACTTTACAATTACTCTGTTCGCCTCTTAGATGTCCAGGAGCAGAGAAGAAGATTTTCAAAGAAATAATCCATTTTCACTACAGATTCAATATAGCCCCACCCTTAAATACCAGAGCCCCTGACTCAGGGGACAAGATATTCACAATTTTGGAAGAGGCACCCTTGCTCATCATAACCATGTACTTAGTTTGTTTCCTTAATAACAATGGGCAGAGAAGATTTTCAAAGAAATAATGCATTTCTACCATATATTTAAAAGAGCCTCACTTAGCTGCAGGTCTGTACCTTGCTGGTCTGAAAAAATGGGGATGAACGACCAGAGAGCTACAGTGCCACCCATTGAAAAAAATGTATATTTATTGTGCACAAAAAGTAGTGCACTGTTTCTTGATTTATTTCTCCATATTTTTAAACTGCAATCTCAAAATATTACTGACCGTGTGTTCTTAACTCATTTTTTCACTATTCCCACATGAAAACATTTCCTATAACTGTTGTTAATAGCCCTTCTGGGCCTGAAATTTAGACCATCCAAAATTTCGCCTGTCAATACTGCCATTTTGGGTAGCTAGTTGACAATTCAGCCAAATGCAATTCGTAAAGATGTCAACTACAAGAGTAGTTGATAGAGGTCTAAGGAATTTTTTGAAATCGAGCTTTTGTGCAGTTGAGGTAAGAATTTGGAGAAATAATATCCAGAACCGAGCGCAACTTTTTGTGCGCAGTAGATATACAGTTCTTTCTATGGGTGGCACTGTAGCTCTCCGGTCTGTCAATTTTTTTTCGGAGAGCTACAGTTCTGCAGCTAAGCCTCACCTTAACACCAATCATCCCTGAACCGCAGTTATGAATTTCAAACTTTTTAAAAAAGATATCCTTGCTCATCATAACCATGCAATTAGTTTTTCTATAAATACCCAGGGGCAGAGAGGAAGATTTAAAAAAAAATAATGCAATTGCACTCTTTTTCAATAGAACCAGGAGTATAAACCCCTGACCCTTGGGTCACAATTTTGGAAGAGGCACCCTTGATCATAATAACCATGCACCTAGTTTATCTAGTTAAGAATTAATGCAATTTCACTATATAGTCAATAGACTAGCCTGCCCTAACACCACAACCCCTGATGCAGGGGCCAAGATATTCACAATTTTGGAAGAGGCACTCTTGCTCATCATAACTATAAACTTGGTTTATCTGGTAAATACCTAGGAGCAGAGAAAAAGATTTAACAAGAGGCCCAAGGTCCTTAATGGTCACCTGAGTATAATACAACAATTTAGAAGTTAAATACACTGATAGATGAAGCTTTGTTGCCCTAAAGCAAGAGAAGTAGGAAGATCAGGATCAACAAAATAATTAGTCTAGTATTCAGTATCAACTCATAACTTAAGTTCTAATCTGTCCCCCACTTAACATTATCACCATGCGGACTATTAACAAACTATTAGTGCTTCTGTACTGTTTTTAAACCCATATTAAGACCTCTAGCATTGACCTCTCTTATGGTCTTTGAAGAACTTTTAATAAGATAAGTTATTTTTGTCTCATTTTTATTTATCTATTACTTACAGGTCTGCCTGATTATTAAAACTAAGAAAGTACTTTTTGAATTATACGATAAACATTCTTGCATAATTATCTAGGGATGTCAAAATATTTATTTTCTTTAGTCGAATATTCGATTGCTTTATTCGAACGACAGTCGAATATATTCGAAACTTTTCGGAAACTAAAATTTTATTTCAAACTTCACTGGTACATCACATATCAAATCCCAAATCCCCTTTTTTTTAAAATTGATTAAAAAGTTACATAAAATGTTACACACAGATGTTCACAAGAACTTAAAATGTGGATAAAGTGTTTATTTTTACTTAGTATAGACCGTTAATTTCTCCAAAATGTAAGATTTCACCGTCAATCATGTTCATAAATTGGTCTGTAAAGTCGGTTTTTTAGGAAGCATAAAAAATGACTGTGTGATATATTTTTTTAAAGCTAAAATGATGGGGGGGGGGGGGGGGGCACATACGGTGACCTTGATAATGTTAAATATTTGAATATACTTTTTGTACCAATTATCAAAATGTCTTTAAAATATGTAAAAGAATATCAATTTTATAATAATTATCGTAGTGTCCAAACATGTCACGGCTATAATGGGTACATGGTATGAGATCAAGTCCAATTAATAGTTTTACAAAGAAAGCGCAGTATGGCGAGATAATTTTATTATGAAAACAACACATTAATTGACAATAATTCACGCGGAAGTGAAGCGTTTCTAATCACTGTACTTTCTACATGTAAAGTCAGCAGTTTTTAATGAGGAAAATTATCTTATCGACTGTGTCTGAGGGAAGACGGTTTCTCAATTTTAGGATGAGAATTCCAACTCTTTATCACTCTTTTATTGAATTTATTTATTCGAATGTCGTTTCGTTATTCGATCGTCGGTCCATTCGACTGATGGTCGAATAGTTGACTATTCGTTGACATCCCTATAATTATCTTATTCTATTAATCTTTCAAATACATTATTTACAGTGATTATCAAAGGTGAATGGAAAAGGGGAATAACTTCTCTCAGTAGAATACAAATTAATAGAGCCCTGTCCAGGACCAGAATGCTTAGACAAATTGTCCAGATGTTCAAAATTCTGGTAGAAATACGCTTACTTATATCATTTAAACTTTTACTCAGTTTGCTTCCAATATGCCCAGAAGCAGAGAAGAATTTCACAGGTACAATGCATTTTCACTACAGATTCAACAAAGCCTTACCCTAACACCAGAACCCAAGACCAAAGGTCAAGAAATTTACAAATTTGGAAGAGTTACCCTCATCATCATAACTATGGACTTCAAAGAATTAACACTTTTCCACTATATTATCAAAAGCCCCCCCCCCCCACCCCTTCCTCGTTATGCCAGAACCCCTGACCCTAGGACCACAAGATTTAAAAATTCTGTTCGAAGCTCCCATCTTCATCATAGCTAAGCAATTTATTTATCAGCTCAACACTAAGGAGCAGACAGGATTAGTTAATGATTAATTAATAGAGTTAATGCATTTTCACTATATAATCAATAGAGCCCCCCCCCCCCCCCCTCAAGAACCCCAAAAACTGAGGCCATGTATTTAAAAATTTTGGAAGAGGCATCCTTGCCTATCTTAATCATGCACTTAGTTTGTTTAAATAATCTCCAGTAGCAAAGAAGAAGATTTTCATAGAATCAATGCATTTTCACTATATAATCAATAGAGCCCCGCCCTAACACCGGAACCCCTGACCCTGGGGCCATGAAATTCAAAATATTTAAAAAGGCATCCTTATGCATCATAACCATGCACTTGGTTTGTTTAAATAATCTCCAGTAGCAGAGAAGAAGATTTTCAAAGAATCAATGCATTTTCACTATATAATCAATAGAGCCCCACCCTAACACCAGAACCCCTGACCCTGGGGCCATGAAATTCACAATTTTTGAAAAGGCATCCTTATGCATCTTAACCATGCACTTAGTTTGTTTAAATAATACCCAGGAGCAGAGAAGATTTTCAAAGAATTAATGCATTTTCACTATATAATCAATACAGCCCCGCCCTAACACCAGAACCCCTGACCCAGGGGCCATGGCTTTCACAATTCTGGAAGGAGCCCACCTCCTCATCATAACTATGTACTTAGTTTATCATCTTAATGCCCAGGAGCAGAGGAGAAGATTTTCAAAGAATTAATGCATTTTCACTATATAGTCAATAGAGCCCCGCCCTAACACCAGAAACCCTGACCCTGGGGCCATGAAATTCAAAATTTTGGAAGAGGCTCTCTTGCTCATCATAACTATGTACTTAGTTACTTAATTTAATACCCAGGAGCAGATAAGATTTTCAAAGAATTAATGCATTTTCACTAGATAGTCGATAGAGCCCCGCCCTAACACCAGAACCCCTGACCCTGGGGCCATGAATTTCACAATTTTGGAAGAGGCACTCTTGCTCATCATAACTATGTACTTAGTTACTTTATTTAATACCCAGGAGCAGAGAAGATTTTCAAAGAATTAATGCATTTTCCCTATATAATCAATAGAGCCTCGCCCTTATACCAGAACCCCTAACCCCGGGGCCATGAATTTCACAATTTTGGAAGAGGCACTCTTGCTCATCATAACTATGTACTTAGTTACCTTATTTAATACCCAGGAGCAGAGAAGAAGATTTTCAAAGAAATAATGCACTTTCACTATATGATCTATATAGCCCCACCCTGGGGCCAAAACCCCTGACCCTGGGGCCATGAATTTCACAATTTTGGAAGAGGCACTCTTGCTCATCATAACTATGTACTTAGTCACTTTATTTAATACCCAGGAGCAGAGAAGAAGATTTTCAAAGAATTAATGCATTTTCACTATATAATCTACAGAGCCCCGCCCTAACACCAGAAGCCCTGACCCTGGGGCCATGAAATTCAAAATTTTGGAAGAGGCACTCTTGCTCTTCATAACTATGTACTTAGTTACCTTATTTAATACCCAGGAGCAGAGAAGAAGATTTTCAAAGAAATAATGCACTTTCACTATATGATCTATATAGCCCCATCCTTGGGCCAGAACCCCTGACCCTGGGGCCATGAATTTCACAATTTTGGAAGAGGCACTCTTGCTCATCATAACTATGTACTTAGTTACTTTATTTAATACCCAGGAGCAGAGAAAAAGATTTTCAAAGAATAAATGCATTTTCACTATATAATCTACAGAGCCCCGCCCTAACACCAGAAGCCCTGACCCTGGGGCCATGAATTTCAAAATTTTGGAAGAGGCACTCTTGCTCTTCATAACTATGTACTTAGTTACCTTATTTAATACCCAGGAGCAGAGAAGAAGATTTTCAAAGAAATAATGCACTTTCACTATATGATCTATGTAGCCCCACCCTGGGGCCAGAACCCCTGACCCTGGGGCCATGAATTTCACAATTTTGGTAGAGGGCTCAATGCTTATTACAATGATGCCAACAGTTTGACTGCTTGATGTCCGGGAGTAAAGAAGAAGATTTTTAAAGATTGCATTATTTTTGGTGGTTTTAGCCCCACCCCTCAGGCCCCAGGGGGGCAGGGACCATGAAATTCAAAAATTTTGTTCCCCTTCACCCATAGATGCTATATGCCAAATTTGGTTGAAATTGGTTAAGCGGTTATAGAGAAGAAGCTAAAAATGTTCAAATGTTAACGCACGACGCACACCGCACGACGACGGACGAGAACGGATAGCAATAGGTCACCTGAGTGACTCAGGTGACCTAAAAATAAAGTGCCCCGCCACAGCATGATACGCCCATCAAATGTTATTCAATTGTCATAAACAGTTTAGAGTGCAAGAAAATCATGTCAACCTTGATTCTCAGATTTCCATGACTTTTCCATTCCTTATAATATTTGCTGTTTATACATCTCCTGTAGTGTAGGCATTAATTATAACAAATATTACATCATAGTCATAGATTTCTAAACTGGTTGTGTCAGAGCTTGACAAATGCCCATCTGCAACCCCCCCCCCCCCCCCCCCCTCATCTTTCATATTTGTTTGATATTTTCAAAAAATTAAACAAAAAATATCATACTAAACAATATCAAATTTAGTCTTAACAATTTAATCTATACCAAATTAATTTTGAAAATAAAAGGCTGGCCATCAAGTGACATATGCTATAAACTGACTAGTAGATCTTCTGTCTAATTCCCAAAGGATGCAGATAAGAACAGCTTGATCAGAGATGCTCTAACAGAAATGATTGAGACAGCTAGCCTTCCTACATTGAACTCATTAATTAATTATAATCTTTAACTGGATGCATGTCCACTCATTACTCCCAAGGGATGAATGGATCTGCACTGTCTGCTTTGTAGTCTGTATTGCAGTAAAAATGCATATTTATGTCATTCTGTTGAAAACAGAGATTTTTTTAATTTGTTACAAAGATTTATAAAAAGAAACAAAAACTTGTGTAATCTTGATGCAACATTTTTAATAAGGTTACTGCATGACTTTTAGATTTGTAGGGACTATACCTGCCACATTTTTAAAAAAAATTACTTTTTTTTTTTTTTTTTTTTGAATTTTAATGTCAAACTGCTTTTAAGCTGCAGTGCATATGGACAAATGGACATGCTGTTTCCAATATCCCCCCCCCCCCCCCCCCCCCCGCCCGGTAAAATTAGTTTTAATTATATTACACAATATCAAATTACTTTATTTTACAATATCATACAATATCAAATTAGTTTTAATTACTTTTCACCAAATTCATTTTAAAAGTTAGGCTAGCCAACAAAATCTATTTGATTCTAATTAATTTGCCCAATTTCCAAGAGATATAGATAACACCTGCTTGATCAGAGATGCTCTACCTGAGTTAGCTCCTCACACTAAAACTCATTAATTTCTCTCTAATTTGACATGCAATTTTCTGTTATCAAAATTCTCCTTGACCAGTGCTTGATAATTACACCCATGGGAGAGGTGGAATTTCTCTTATAACATTACATTTGTTATAGATTGCTGTGAAGTATATAGTGAAAAAAATAAATATTTTCTTGATTTAACACTTTTTAATAAGGATACTGCAACATTCTTACATTTTTTGGGATCGTATAATTCAATAGTATAGAGACACAGTTTTTTAAAAAATTTCACTTAAATTGAAGGTCACAGTGACCTTGAAATAGGTCGCGACACACCTTCTACCTAAGATGCATAAATTGGCCAAGTTTGATGATTCTAAGTCGAATAGTTTTCTTGTTATGAGCCGGACAGGATTTTTCCATATTTGGCCATAGCATCTTAATTAAAGGTCAGAGCGACCTACTTTTAATGTGCGACACACCTTCTACCCAAGATGTATCAGCTGACAAAGTTTGATAATTCTAGGCCTAATAGTATTAAAGTTATGAGCCAGACACAAAAAAGCTAACAGACGGACGGACGGACGGACATGAACGCCATAACATAATACGTCCCGTCTTAAGACGGGCGTATAAAAAAATAATGCACCTTCACTTTATAATAGTCTAAGAGCTCCCTCCTGCAGAACCCCTCACCCTGGCACCACAAATTTCCCAATTTTGGAAGAGACACCCTTGATCATCATACCATAACCATACACCTAGTTTATCTGCCTTATACACAGGTGGAGAGAAAAGGATATTGAATGAATTTATGCATTTTCATTATAATATGATCATTAGAGCCCCACCCTAAGTCCAGAACCCCTGACCCTGGGGCCATGAATTTCATAATTATGGTATAGGGCTCAATTAATGCTTATTAAAATCACACCAACAGTTTGACTGCTTGATGTCCAGGAGTAAAGAAGAAGATTTTCGAAGATAGCACTAATTTTGATGATTTTAGCCCCCTCCCCCAGGCCCCAGGGGTGCAGTGACCATGAAATTCATCATTTGCACCCCTTCACCCATTCATGATTGATGCTACTTGCCAACATTGATTGAAATTGGTCCAGTGGTTCAAGAGAAGAAGCTCAAAATGTTCATAAGTTTATGACCGACAGACAACACATGATGACAGACAAAAACAGATAACAATAGGTCACCTGAGTGACCCAAGTGACCTAAAAATCCTACAAATAAATTTTTTTTTGAAAGAGGGAGGATAAAACCATAGGCACCTAATGTATGGAAATTGGCTTAGTTGTTACAGATGGACAGACAGACAGATGCCAGACAAAATGTGATCAGAAAAGCTCACTTGAGCTTTCTGGTCAGGTGTGCTAAAAACAGTATCTTTTTCAATTGGAATTTTAGTTTGAGATTTATAAAATTGTGTTTCTATTGATGAGAACCTCATTGTAGCACTAATATTATACTGTGCCATCACATTGGCGCTGATTTTTTAATTGTGTCCCTCAAGAATAAACTGTGGCAGGGCTGCTCATGGAAAACCCTGGTTACACTTAAGGCACAATGTTAACATAGGGCCTTTTTGGCCCTGTGAATTTCTGAAAATTCAAAACTGGCCAGTTTTAGTTGAAAATACATTAAATTTCACTTGGACCCTTAGTGACTGCACATCTATTAAGAAATTACTGTAATTTTCTCGCTAGTTTATGTATCATGACATAATGAATTGTGTCATTATCTTTAAATGCTGAAAATTTTTTCAAAATTGGCAAAAAATTTAATTTTTTTGATCAAGGGGTGCACGGCTCATATTTCAATTCTTTGCTGAAGGTACTCACACTAATTTTCTTCAAAATTCAAGAACATTGCAATTTCACAAAGCCTGTTCTTCAATATTTATCTGGACCCTCAGAGGAAACTTTAGAGGCAATGAAAGCACTCTCTACTTTATACTGATGTTTAAAATGGGACACTGGGACTTGGTCAGTTACTTGGTATATGGGGAGGGCCATTTTATGGATAAAGTGAACCTAGCTCTTTTGTATAACCTGAAGACACTTTTGAAGGGAAATTGCCTCATTTTTAACACTTAATGAAAGAGAATCAAATAACAATTTAATAATTACCCAAGGTATACTTGAACAACTGGCTTTGGAACACTTGTGTTACAAAATGCTTCATAGTTTTTAAAGTGTAAACTGCCCTATCCCAGGTAATATACCATATAACTTGGGTTGCTATCAAATTCATTCCTTAAATAAATCTGTTTTCCTGTTAGTGTACAAACATGTATTTATTGTCTCACAAAAATCATATTCATATAACATAGAATACTACTTATATACACAAATAAATTGATTTACAAACACTAGATGTATATTATTTTCACAAACTTTCACATATTACATACTACATACATACATCTAGATGACCAACAAAATTTACACAAGATTGTCAGCATTGTTACAGATTCAAGTCAAACTCTCCCATTTGATGAAAATACAAACACTCATGATCTGCTCAACTATATTCTTAAAATTACATTCACTCCACACATGCAGTTCCTGGAAAAATCAAGTGGCATCTGCAGATTTAGCAGATTTAAAGTTTCTGATGCACAGTAAACAAGCCAGTCCTGTGTGATCTGGTTCTGTATTGATACTCTTAATAACACTGTCCTCTATCACAAGAGCATACCTATATAATCAAATTATAGGGGCAGAATTAACACAATGTAAGTGTCTGGAAATTTCACAATGCAATACAAATGGTCATTGTACTTCAACTTGCAGTAAGCCCAAGTTTGCATGTATTTAATTTTTTTAAAGTCAAAAATTGATTTTTCCCTCTAAAAGAGACTGTGATCTAATTTTAGTGCATATTTTAGTTTGTATCTGAATTTGAATAATTTGTAAGTAAAAAAGCCCTTTTTCATCAAACCAATCATTTTTTGAAATATGCAGTTATGTTCTACCTTTTAGACCTGATATTTCCAAGTAACTTTGTGCAATCCAGATCCATCTTCATGGCCTTTGTGAATTTGCACTGAGGGTCTGCCAGCATCCTTATCTATAAAGCAATACACTAATACATTCAATACATGTACATGGATTCTGAATAAATCCAGTCTAAGAAATCACACACTGCATATCTAAAAAAAAAATTCTTTGGTGAGACAATCTGAAGGTTAAATCTTTCAAAGAGGTTTGCAAGGACATTGTACATGTAATTCCATCATATGCAAAACTTTCATCTCATTCCTTTTTTGCCCATGCCTCTGACATGGCGTGGTTGACAAAAATCTGTATAACTGAAAAAAAAAAATGTGCAAAATCTGCAGCCAAACCTCATTATCTTGACTGAAAAACAAACTACCAGTAGATGTGTCAGTGTGACACAAATGCCCCCACTGACAGGCAAGTTTCAAATATCTCCAAGAATATGAAAATAACAGTGGGTGGAAATGGCACAAAAATGAAATAACATATTGCTGCTTTTACTTTCTGGAATCAGTTCTTTACCACAACATACTTTTGCTGCGTAAAATGGTGTTCACTTACAAGCAAACCAACAACAGTTAATGATTAGAAATTTTCAAATTCTAGGGGCATTATTTTTTGCAAAAATGGGTCAATCAAAAACGAAACTTATATTTGATCTGTAGGTCATCAAAATCGAGAGATATTCCAAAATCAACTCATAATCTATAAGCATGGCCAAAAAAAGCCCAGAAATCAGTTTTTTAAAGTCTCAACACAAGACTTGAACTTGATCTGTAAGTCACAATATCAAGAAAACATGACAAAAATCAGCACATTATCTACAAGCATAGCATAAGTCTGGAAAACTATGATGGAATGACAGAAAGACAGGAGGAAAGGGGTAACACAATGTGCTTGGCCATTTCATGGCAGGGGTATAAAAACTCAGAGAAATCAGGCCCCAGGATCTTGAAACAGACTTAAACTTAAGTCAAATTTCCAATGTAAAATGTTTATTAATTATTGAATTAAGCTCTCAATTTGCAGATTAAAAAAACTTCTGTGAAGCAATATTGAAAAATATTTTAATTTTGGTCTGATTGACTTCTACAACATTTTCCAATCTATCTGGTACTTTGACATACCCGTGGATTTTGACATAAGGCCATTCCAAGTTTTTTCTATGTTTAGCGTCCACCCATCTTTCAAACACCTACCTACCTATTCGCAAAAAACACACAAGCCAAATAATAAAACACAGACTATATAGTCTTTAAAATGACGTCATTCAAAGCATTTGATTTCATAAATCTATTATTCTCGTAGAAAGATCTATTCTTTAGCAAAAACAAGGTATTAAATGCTTAAAATATACCTAATATGATATATTGTACACAAATACTTAGAAAAATTGATAGAATCTAAAGATTTTGACCAGAAAAATCAATTTCAGGACTCCTGATTTTGTTTGTTTTTTCTGATATGGGGTGTCAAAAACCAAGGCGCACGTGGATGCTAAACATAGAAAAAACTTGGAATGGCCTAAGCTTAAGATGTTTCATGATCCCTGGGCCTGAAGATTTGAAATAAGGAGGTTAATAATGGGACTTCCAACCTATCAGGTACTTTGACATACCCGTGGTATTTGAGATATAAATTTTCAAGATAATGAAATTCAACTGTATTTAAAATGCTGCTAACATTTATAAATCAAGATTATAGCATTTTATTTGCAAAGATTATCTTATTCCCATGCAATCTATTCATATAAATAAAATACAATGGAGTTCAGCCACTGGCAAATAAAATATCTTATGTGATACAATAAATGCAATTTACCACTGGCTCAACAGCTAATTAAAATGTGTCATTCTAGCTACACAGGAAACAGAAGTACATGTACATGTATATTGTATCCTATATGCTTTGTTCATGGGCATTTACACAGAAAACCATCAAGTTTGTTCATGGGACTATGTATATTTGCATACCATTCTTTATAGACACAATTTAGTGCTTCTATAAGTTCTAAGAACTGTACATACATGTGGTGTAATACACAAGTATTTAGTGGAAGAAATCTTTCATTTTAAATACGCAAGTTTCAAGATTATTTCCCTTGGTGTGCTCTTTTGTTATGGAGGGGAGTTTTGTTTCCGCATATGCAGTTAGATGGGACAGTTATTTATAGATTGGATACATTACATCATCCATATACAGGTAAACTTCGTTATCTCGACATCGATGGGACCATCGGAAAATGTCGAGATATCCGAGGTGTCGAGATATCAGAGTTGAGACTTGACGTCCAAGATTTCACTGCACAGCAAAACAGACAAGCTTATTATATGTATATCACTTCAATATGGACTCTAGCTCGACATATTTAAGCAATCCCTCTATTTTCATTAAAAATCTAAGAAGTTATTTTTAAAAATCTTGTTTATAAAACGTGTTATTTTTCGAAATCTTTCTAAATTCACAAAGTTTCAGCACAAACTTACAGCATTCGCTTTTGTCAGAACAGGATACGATATGCGCTCTAAAAACTTCGAACCGTATAAAGTCGACATCCGAGATACGGAAAAACATTAAATGCGTATTATTTTTTTCTTATTTTATTCAGGAAGAATGTACATTATAATTATTTTTTAAAGAGATTTGTGTATCTAAACTAACACAGTGATGTTACAGATGTATGAATTACAGCTGATTCGGTCAATCGTGTTGTTAATTCGATTGTTTCCTGTTGAATACATTTTACTACAAAATATAATTAAAACATCATTTAATTCCTTAGTTTGAATTATTCAGTGTGTTTGTTATTTATTGTAATTACCATTTTCAAATTTAAAAATTATTTAGGTTTCGATATTAATAACTACCTGTACATTTACGCAGAATCGTGTCGATTTATCAATGATATTACCCAAGCTGAACATGAGCAATTAACGTCTCAAAGACGCCGAGGGGACTTTGGATTCACCTACATACACAGTCTATAGAATTAATTAAGCAGTGTGCAGTCAAAACTTGGGTGTGAAAGGTGAATTTTTGACGACGTCGAAATAACCGGAGTCGTCCGTGCGTGACGAGCGACCCTATCTGACAAACAGTAAGGTTTAGTAGAGCAGAAAATTGCCGATGTCGACATATACCAGGTAAATTTTGCTCTTGGGACTGTGACTATACGTCGAGATAACCGGGGTTGTCGACATTACCGAGGTCGACATATCAGAGTTTTTGCAAATCATTTATATAGTAAATACTGCCGGGACCGCGGACGGACGTCGACATATCCCAGGTTGTCGACATATCCGATGTCGAGATACCGAAGTTTACCTGTACCATCATAACTGATTGTCGGGATACACTCTTCAAATTGAAAATTACCAAATTAAAGTAATATATTTTCTACAAGCAAAAAATAGGAACAAAAGAAAATAAAAATCAGAACAAAATGAAATATCAGTGGATAAGAACTTATCAAACGAGTGAAGAGATATGGATCTTTACATGTAATAAGTACACACACATGTGGTCATTGTACGTTGGCATTCTGAATGGCTCTTTCCCTTATAATAACTTCAAATAGCCCAATAACTTTTTAGAAAAAGTTTGTACAATCAAAGAATTATTTTTCTTACAAAGACTATAATGGTTCTTTTGTTTTCAAGTATCTTAATTGAAAGTAAATTTTGTAAATATGTATAGTAGAGCTTTACAAAACCATCAAAATGATCACTGCTTAGCATTATCATCTTTCTAAAACATTAAATGAATTGTAAAAGCCATAGCCATCATTCATTTATTTAAGCATGCAAGTTTGTATACATAAATAACCTGTCCCAATTCCATGCTGATATGGATACTTTTTGCGCCTCTATCGTCAGAGAGTTACAATCTCAAAACTCGAGTATTCTCCCCAACAGAAGAATGCTGGCACATGCCTTTTTACATATTTTATTTAGCATTAAAATATATGATGCCAGTATCCTGAAATTATACCCCCATCCCATTGTGGAAATCATTTTTGAAAATGATAGGGTTTTCATACCTTTCCTCTAGTCTGCAATTTGTCTGCCCAGGCTGACATAACAAATGGATCATTGACAGCCACACAACAAATCATATCATAGCCTTCCTCCTATAAAACAATATGTACATCATTAACAGCCACACAACAAATCATATCCTAGCCTTCCTCCTACAAAACAATAGCTACATCATTAACAGCCACACAACAAATCATATCCTAGCCTTCCTCCTACAAAACAATAGCTACATCATTAACAGCCACACAACAAATCATATCCTAGCCTTCCTCCTACAAAACAATAGCTACATCATTAACAGGCACACAACAAATCATATTGTAGCCTTCCTCCAACAAAACAACAGCAACATCATTAATATCCACACAATGAATCATATCATAGCCTTCCTCCTACAAAACGATAGCTATATCATAAACAGCCACACAAATCATATTGTAGCCTTCCTCGTACAAAATGACAGCTTCCTCATAAACAACCTTACAACAACACATATTGCAGCCTTCCTCTTAAAAAACAAAGGCTATATCATTAACAGTCACACAACAAATCATATCCTAGCCTTCCTCCTACAAAACAATAGCTACATCATAAACATCCACACAACAAATCATATCTTAGCCTTCCTCCTACAAAAACAATAGCTACATCATAAAAAGTCACACAACAAATCATATTGTAGCCTTCCTCCTACAAAACAACAGCAACATCATTAATATCCACACAATGAATCATATCATAGCCTTCCTCCTACAAAACGATAGCTACATCATAAACATCCACACAACAAATCATATCCTAACCTTCCTCCTACAAAACAATAGCTACATCATAAACATCCACGCAACAAATCATATTGTAGCCTTCCTCCTCCAAAACAATAGCTACATCATAAACATCCACGCAACAAATCATATTGTAGCCTTCCTCCTATAAAACAATAGCTACATCATAAACAGCAACACAACAAATCATATTGTAGCCTTCCTCCTATAAAACAATAGCTATATCATAAACATCCACACAACAAATCATATCATAGCCTTCCTCAAACATCATTAACATCCACACAACAAATCATATCATAGCCTTCCCTACAAAACAACAGCTTCATCATAAACAACCGCAAAACTACAAAACAATAGTAGCTACTTTATGAACACAAAACAAATCATATCTAAGCCTTTCTTCTACAAAACAATAGCTACATCATTAACAGACACACACATAACATATTCATAGTTTCATCTTAGCAGAGAAATTATACATGTTTATTACATTTAATTGCATAAAAATGATATTTTCACTGTGAAAAATTATCAAAAGACTGTTGTAAAAAATACTCCCTATAGACTTTCATAAGACAGAGTAAATAAACAATCTTTACAAAGACTAAAACTATTAATGTTTCACCAAATTGTTATTAAAATCCATGTTCACAATTTTCAATCTCACTGTTGCTAAGCTATGATGTCTCAACTGCTCAACTATGATGTCACAGCCTATGACACTGCATTATGAAAAGACAGGGGCAAAAGAAAATGCAATAAACATAAAATTCAATGTTTTGTAATTGAAAAGGGAATTTATTTCACTCAACATACAGGATTTTTTTTACTTTCACTTGTGCTTCATACTCATGAAAATATTTTTTAAAAAAATCCTGCCCTACGTGTGAAATAAATTCCCTATTCAACAACAAAACATTGAATATCCTCTATATATCATGATATATACAAGTACATTTAATTGCTTTATATCAGATATTATTAGTAATATTAAAATGTCTTCCTTTTCATTCTTAAAAATGTTTTTTACATTATCATCATAAAAATTATGCTTACCTTCAATTTATCATGGTGATTTAGATACTCTGGGATGTGCTTCTGTAAAAAAAAAAAGAAGATGTAATTGGAGGGTGGAGTAGCAGAGAAAATACACCCCATCTTCAAAATATGCAATTTTTATAGTATTGTCAAAGTAAAGACTAGCCTACCTCTGAACAGCCAGGAGTAAAAGCTCCCACCACAGCAAACAAGACACCCTTTTTCCCTTTGAACAATTCCTGAGCATTCAGGGGTTTTGTTGGAGAATCTTCAAACAAGTCTTCTGAAGGAATTTTTTCACCAATCTGAAATAATTAATTCTGTACAACTCAGAGCAAGAATATTTCAGGTATAATTTGACATAAATGTAGAAGTTATAAAATACCAGTATTAACAAGATGCTTTTGTCATTCTGACACCACTAGTTTTGGGCATATGTAATACCACCTCATCTATTCAGCTGTATTTTATTCTCAGTGCGTTCTTCTCTGTCCCCTCACTGTTCACAACATTCTACTCTATTCCTTCAGTGTTCACTCAATTGTTCATACTCTGTTCCCTCATTGTTCACACCATTCTACTCTATTCCTTCAGTGTTCACTCAATTGTTCATACTCTATTCCCTCATTGTTCATACCATTCTACTCTATTCCTTCAGTGTTCACTCAATTGTTCATACTCTGTTCCCTCACTGTTCACATCATTCTCCTCTATTCCTTCAGTGTTCACTCACTATTCATACTCTGTTCATTCACTCTTCACATCATTCTGTTCTATAATTCCTTCAGTGTTCACTTACTGCTCATCTTGTATTCCCTCACTGTTAACATCATTCTCCTCTATTCCTTAAGTGTTCACTCACTATTCATACTCTGTTCATTCACTCTTCACATCATTCTATTCTATAATTCCTTCAGTGTTCACTTACTGATCATCCTGTATTCCCTCACTGTTCACATCATTCTTTTCTATTCCTTCAGTGTTCACTCACTTTTCATTCTCTGTTCCCTCACTTTTCACATTCTACTCTATTCCTTCAGTGTTCACTCACTATTCATACCCTGTTCCCTCCTTGTTCACATCATTCTACTCTATTCCTGCAGTTTTCACTCAATAATGTAGATCTAGAAGAGCACAATGTTTCATGGACTGTAGTGTGCCACATCTTTTAACCTCAATTAATCTGTACTTTTGGGATTTAATTGCTGCATTCCATTGGTACTATAACAATAAACCATTACTATGGCCATGCTTAAATATTTAATCTCAGAATATTTGCTTTTTTCTATATAATAGCATACATCTCTACGATCTAGTAGTCATTATTTGTGGCCAAATGTGGACACTTGGATGAAGCATAAGGTTCAGGTTCAACCCCCCCCCCCCCAAATCTAGACTTGAAAATAAGAGAGTAAGAAAATATAAAGCTTAACTCTTCAGTGAAAGTGCAATATCTACCATCTCCAAGGCATGAAAATGAAGCTAATCATTTGCAGGAAGTCACTGCAGGGAAAACTGAATGATTGTGCAACCAATTGTACCATATGGTGATTAATCATGATTATTACAGGGTAAAACTTATCACATTTTGTACATCAAAACATACCCTAAATGTTCGATTACTGTTTACTGCAGGGTTACATAAAGATCGAGTAACAACACGATTCATTCCTGCACAAAAAAATCTCATGGAGGTTGCCATTTTTGTTTACTTTCGATGCACGTAAACGTCACTTTTATTTTTAGGTACACGTGTCTACTTTCGTTTTTTGTTGGAATGATAAACATACGGTCATCCGTAGCAAAATCCTAGGCTTAAGCTTCACTCAGGAAGTGAAGATTAAGGCTAAAATTTTGCTTTACTTTATTACACCTTTACTGATAAAATTACCGACTCCAAAATAGTAGAGATGAAAGCAAATGCTTTATGACATCATTTTTAATATATTCGATCAGTGCATATTATCTATTCAAGATATATTACTAAAGTCAGGTACTCTTCACACAATTGCTCCGAAGAAAATAGTTCCATTCATGATCAGTAGATACAACATTACAACAAATGTTAAGAATAATGATGTGTATTCAATACGTTAAAGAAAACAAAATTAACGTAAAAAGATTTTAAGAAAATCACTTTTCCCCAGAAAAGGAAATAAAAAGTTTTCATATTCCTACGCTCGCTGCCTCCTCAGTCTTTTTCACGAAAATATATAGGTCATCCTTCGATTGATAGTGATAAATCTTTTCACCAATTATATAACTGTCATGATTATTGTTCGTTAATTGCCGTATATTTTCTTTTGAGTGAGAATATTAATCATTAACTGTGTGTGTGTTTTTTCTCTTTTTTTAAATAACGGAATGGTTATTATGTGGTTAAACACCTGCAATCGTAACTTCTCGGCAAAGCAACGTGATTTGCCGAGCTCGTCTGAAAGGATCTTCGCACGTGTGTTAACCTAGTCTATTTGGTCTTGCAAGCACAGGTATGTGCACCGTTCGCTAGTGACGCTTAGATCATGTAGACTGGGTATCAGTATTTGCTACGGACATGAAGAAGAACTATACATCAGTTTCATAACAAGTGCAGGTTTTTTACTCAAGCCCTAGACTGGGCTAGAGGGGCTGAGTTACCTAAAACGATGCTAGGTCATTGGTCTAATCAGTTTAAAAACACGAAAATATACTATTTTTGTAAATAAAAACATTTCTAGAAACAAAAATGAAGTCTATCTTCAAAACGTCTCTATATTCAAAATCTATATAAAGTGTTAAATGTCGGATTTTATTCTTTGACGAAGGAGTGATGCTCCACCGCCGCAACCGATCTCGCGCTTTCCTTTGCGTTTAACAACGGCCGTCAATGTATCTCTAGACAAGTTCATTGATTACTCTTGTTGACCCATCTTTAACATCTGCCTATACTTTGAGTGATAGTACTTTAATAGCACAAAATTAAAAAATAAATTAAAATCTATCCTTGATAGATCTATAGTTTTGCTATATAAAAAATTGGGCTATCTTTGATCTTTGCTTGGACTTGTTTCGAATTTTTACAGAAGATTCTATCATTGGAAAGTTAGATGGTACACATGTAGCACAGGCCCATAGTACGCGGGATTTTTTCGGAGCCCCCCCCCCCCTTCACTTTGAAAACGTTGCCTGTAACATGCTATTTGGATTAAATATTCCTGAAAATGAGTGAGCTGTTAAATACATCTTTAAAATTATATGGTTAATTATATTTAGTCTATATTCTATGTGAAATTAAAACTATTTCTATAAGCATCTGCAACGTTGTGATAATAAAAGTCACTAATCGCATGTATCGTTATATTATATACATGTATGTACATGCAGTTTCCTTAGTACATGCATATTTTATTCAACAAAAGATGTTGAAACTCAGTAGCCTAAATATTATGTCATTTTAGGTTATTTATGGCCATTGTATAGTTGACTTTCTACAGCTTGAGTATCTCTGACGTTTTATCAGTAAATAGTTTTTTTTTTTTAAATTAGAAATCATCTGAGCACAATGAAAATTCGAATAAATTAAAAGTCGAATATCTTGGATATGGGGTAACCCATATCTATTCTTGTTATAAGTAAAACGGACCAGTCAGCAAGGTCAGCCAAGAGCTTGTACACAAGGATAATTTATGCATATAAGGGTGGGGTTGAAAGGGATATCTAGGGGAAAAATTACATGTACTCCATGGCTTGCAAGATTTAGAATTATAATTCTTAAACCAAAATAAAGTATGCATTTTATAACCCATGTTTGACCTTTAAACTTCAACATCTTGCAGACAGTCACTGACAGTAAAACTCATGTGACAGATAAAGACTGCGGCCTCTGCATTTTTTGCAGCTGACAAGATAATTATGTATAATCCCAGGAGACTCGTGAAAGCTTTCCTCCTTTTCTACTGTAATCAGGCCCGTAGAATGCAGGGGGGGGGGGGGGCTTTTTCTGAGTATAGTCTTTTGCAGTAGGATGCTGCATGGTTGCCCAAAAAGTTAGAGAAAGATCCAGCCCCAATCTCCCAACGCAAAGGGATTTTCAAGTTTTTATGTTTTTGGGAGGTTGACCCCTTCTTCTAAGACCCTTACTACGGGCCTGTTATTTGTAGTTTAATTTCTAGGAGTTATCTCTTTTTCCCATATTTTTTCTTATAAAGTTAGGAATCCACCCCATCATCTCATTTCCTGTCTCAATGACGTACAAAATCAACTGCACTACAAAACATCTAAATATGTCTAACCACAGGCCCCTGAAGTGTGGATCGATAGCCCCCCCCCCCCCTTTAATTAAAAAAAAAAAGTAAGAGCTTATAATTTCTCAAAAATATATAATTTCCCCGTCAATCACAGCCACATATCAGATTGTACTTTTTCTTACGTTTAGAGAATGGCCTTATACTGTATAATAACAAGAATAGATATGGGTTACCCCATATCCAAGATATTCGACTTTTAATTTATTCGAATTTTCATTGTGCTCAGATGATTTCTAATTTAAAAAAAAAAAACTATTTACTGATAAAACGTCAGAGATACTCAAGCTGTAGAAAGTCAACTATACAATGGCCATAAATAACCTAAAATGACATAATATTTAGGCTACTGAGTTTCAACATCTTTTGTTGAATAAAATATGCATGTACTAAGGAAACTGCATGTACATACATGTATATAATATAACGATACATGCGATTAGTGACTTTTATTATCACAACGTTGCAGATGCTTATAGAAATAGTTTTAATTTCACATAGAATATAGACTAAATATAATTAACCATATAATTTTAAAGATGTATTTAACAGCTCACTCATTTTCAGGAATATTTAATCCAAATAGCATGTTACAGGCAACGTTTTCAAAGTGAAGGGGGGGGGGGGGCTCCGAAAAAATCCCGCGTACTATGGGCCTGTGCTACATGTGTACCATCTAACTTTCCAATGATAGAATCTTCTGTAAAAATTCGAAACAAGTCCAAGCAAAGATCAAAGATAGCCCAATTTTTTATATAGCAAAACTATAGATCTATCAAGGATAGATTTTAATTTATTTTTTAATTTTGTGCTATTAAAGTACTATCACTCAAAGTATAGGCAGATGTTAAAGATGGGTCAACAAGAGTAATCAATGAACTTGTCTAGAGATACATTGACGGCCGTTGTTAAACGCAAAGGAAAGCGCGAGATCGGTTGCGGCGGTGGAGCATCACTCCTTCGTCAAAGAATAAAATCCGACATTTAACACTTTATATAGATTTTGAATATAGAGACGTTTTGAAGATAGACTTCATTTTTGTTTCTAGAAATGTTTTTATTTACAAAAATAGTATATTTTCGTGTTTTTAAACTGATTAGACCAATGACCTAGCATCGTTTTAGGTAACTCAGCCCCTCTAGCCCAGTCTAGGGCTTGAGTAAAAAACCTGCACTTGTTATGAAACTGATGTATAGTTCTTCTTCATGTCCGTAGCAAATACTGATACCCAGTCTACATGATCTAAGCGTCACTAGCGAACGGTGCACATACCTGTGCTTGCAAGACCAAATAGACTAGGTTAACACACGTGCGAAGATCCTTTCAGACGAGCTCGGCAAATCACGTTGCTTTGCCGAGAAGTTACGATTGCAGGTGTTTAACCACATAATAACCATTCCGTTATTTAAAAAAAGAGAAAAAACACACACACAGTTAATGATTAATATTCTCACTCAAAAGAAAATATACGGCAATTAACGAACAATAATCATGACAGTTATATAATTGGTGAAAAGATTTATCACTATCAATCGAAGGATGACCTATATATTTTCGTGAAAAAGACTGAGGAGGCAGCGAGCGTAGGAATATGAAAACTTTTTATTTCCTTTTCTGGGGAAAAGTGATTTTCTTAAAATCTTTTTACGTTAATTTTGTTTTCTTTAACGTATTGAATACACATCATTATTCTTAACATTTGTTGTAATGTTGTATCTACTGATCATGAATGGAACTATTTTCTTCGGAGCAATTGTGTGAAGAGTACCTGACTTTAGTAATATATCTTGAATAGATAATATGCACTGATCGAATATATTAAAAATACACAAAGTAAGAAACAGAATTTGTAAACAAATGGGGGGGGGGGGGTTCCCTGCTTCGAGACATTTTCAAGGTAATAACAGTGTTACCTATCATAATGTTGCAAGCACTCTGTCAGAGAGATGTTCTTCTACTAGTCTCTTTAACCTAAACCCCATCATTGGTGTTTTATATGCCGTAATCGAACGATTTATTAATCGGATACATAAAAATTTCTCCATTGACTGCTTTGAAGGAGGTTTTGCAGTTCGCAGATTTTGGAGTTTGATTTTCGACCCTAGTCTAACGGAGATAAACTCTTTTGATATGAGCATTTAATTCATTCATGTGATATAACACTGTTTCGTAAAATTTGCAATTTTTACCTCATTCTGTCAGTTCTATAGAATATATTTTATATGGAATGCCTAAACAATACAGAGGTTAAAAACGACGTCAAGGGGGGTGGGGGTGGTGGTGTTAGGGATGTCTTTTCCCCACATTTTATAAAGTTTCACCCATGAAAAAAACTGGCATAGACCTTGGAAATGTTCAAAAAGGCTACAGAGAAATAAAATGCATCCAGGGTGTCTTTTTTTTAATGCCAACAAAAAATAATCAGAGAGAGTAGAAACGAACACTTATGCCAATTTGTAGTCCGGGTGTCCAAAGTCGGTCAAGATGAAAAGTCCTCTTGTGCGGTAGATACTGAACGACAAGCAAATTATGCTGGCATTTATAATCAAGTGAGGATCTTTCCCCATGTATATATCTGTTTACAATATTATGGATCGAGATCAGCTGTTCATGACATTGTAAAGTCAAATAAACTAGACGGGCTTAATTCAAGGGAATCATCATCAAGAAAAATGTATTGAGGCAGAGAGAACAGACACTGAGAAACAATATGATGTCGGACGTCATAAACTCAACGGAGACAGCGCCGGATAAGGCCATTCCAAGTTTTTTTCTATGTTTAGCACCCGCGGACGGATATGAAATTAAAACAAACACAAATTAGAATTGATATATAAAAATCTTTGAAACACAATTTACTTTTTTGAAATCAGCAACTCTTTTTTTTAAAGTGCTGTTCAATCATCGTCGCAAACCACGGCCAAAATGTACGATCCTCTCCCAGTCTGGGTAGGAGAGGGCTATATGCGGACTCCGGACCGTGGTTTGAGACGATGGTGTTCAATAAACTAGTAGTTAAACTTAGTAACATTGTTAGAAGAATTCTTAAATGATGATGGGGAATTCTAGAATTATGCTTAAATTGTGTTTTTTCCGTTATGGTTTGTGTGTTTTTTTTTTCAGGTAGAAAGATAGGATTTCGAATTTAGGGTGGACGTTAAACAAACAAACAAACAAAAACTTGGAATGGCCTAATCATAATTATAATGTCTATCAACTTATCAAGATAAAATTTTCAACATTTCTGAAACTTTTGTTGTTTTATGTTTCTTATAAATTTTGAAAGCATCGACTACATAGTATCAATTTTATCGCATCAGTGCATGAACCTTTTGATATTCCCTCAAATTTAATATTCCTAGCAAATAATAACGAAAACAATTCTCAGAGTAAAAATTTGTAGGGCTTAAGTTCCAAGATATTAAAATGAAACAAATATGTAAGTTTGAAGAAATTTCTTCTAAACATCCTTCACCACAATAGCCCCCCACCCATATATCTTGTTTCTTTATGATTTTGTGAGCAGTTTTTGAATTGAATGTAAATATGACAAGAGTTTTCCTTGGATACCAACATTGTTGACCTCTTGACCTTGAAGTTTGACCCACTTTTGCAAAATTTTACCAAACTTTAACCTTGGCCATAACTTTTGAAGAGTTAGTGCTAGGGCTTTCATACTTCACACACGTATCCAACAATTTGATCTCGACCTTGGAGTTTGACCTACTTTGGTAAAACTTTAACCTTGGTCATAATTTTTGATAGTGCTAGGACTTTCATATTTCACAGGTGTATTCCTTGTGACAAGACCTTTCCCTGGGTTTCAACAAGTTTAACCTACTTTTGAAAAACTTTAATCTTGGCCATAACTTTTGAATAGTTGGTGCTAGGGCTTTCATATTTCACATTTATTCCTTGCGACAAGACTTCCCTTGTTTGCCAACAATTTTGACCCTTTGACCTTGAGTTTGACCCTCTTTTGAACAGTTGGTGTTAGGGCATTTATATTTCAGATGTATTCCTTCTGACAAGATCTTTCTTTGGGTACCAACAATTTTGATCTCTTGACCTTGGAGTTTGACTTGCATTTGAGAAACTTTAACCTTCACAGGCTGCCATACGGGGGCATCAGTGTTTCATAAACACATCCTGTTTTTACTATGCATTCTCAACATTCCATTACTACAATTAAACCTTGCACTGGTGTGGTTCTATTACAATATTTGATTATTTTATGCAAAGGGATTGATAATTTTTTTTATTAATACCAATTGTCACATACATGTTTATAATATGGCATTACAACATTACATGTATATCATTAATGAATATAATAAACAAATACAAAAAAAAAATATTATAATAGTGACAATTGAGAGAGAGAAAGAAAGAAGGAGAGAGGGAAGGGGGTTGAGAAAGGTAAAAAAAAAAAAGAGCATGATCATAGAGAAATGTCTCTTCATTAAAGTACTGGTAAGAGTATGTCCAAGAATTGCAAAATGTCTTTAAGTGCCTAGTCGCAGGGTCTTACATAAGTGAAACCAATTTTTTTCCATTATTAAACTCTTTCATTTGATTACTTTTTGTTGCACTATATTTCATGGTAGAGAGTAATGTTTTAACATCTCCATGTAATCCTTGTAATCTCCAAACCTCATTACAACATTTAGCTCGATCTGTATATAAATGACAGTATTGTATTTAATTCTTTACTATTGGGTATTGGGTTTCCAAATATGAATGTACAACTGTCTATTGGAAAATCTATATTATGAGCTTCACAAAGAATGGTAAAACTATTTATAAGTTCCTGAACCTTCTGGCATTCCCACATAATATGAAAAATTGTTTCCTCACATGTCTGACAGGAGCTACACAATTTAGTATCTTTCAAACCCATTTTATATAAAATTCTATTTGTTACTAAGATATGTTGATTTATTCTGAATTGTAGCCATTGTAATTTAGAACTTTTTGTACATTGAAAAGAAATTTTCTATAGCATTTCCAATAGGGAATCTTGAATTTCACTTTTGAGAAAGGTACTACATGTTCTGTGTTCAAAATGTTATACATAGGTTTTGTTCCTTTTTTAAATAAACAGAATAATTTTAAATAAAAAGGTAGAATGGGCTTTGGGTTTGATCTTTCTTTGTTTACTTTTCCTACAGCCATAGCTACTTCTATAACTTTCTGTAGACTCACATAGATAAAAAATTGGTTTCTATATTAAATTTTGCTTGAAGTTCTTCTAATTTTAGAAAAGTTCCCTTTTCATCTGACAAATCTGATATAAGGGATTGATAAATTACCTCTACAAACAATTGGAATACTGTATATCACTTAATTTTCATGAAATTGTTATTTGGTATTTGTAAGGGAGAAAAAGTTTCTATAAATATCTTATACATAGGATTTTTTTTTCCATTTAAATGATGGTGGATTTCTTAAGAGGTATAGATAAATATAACTAATGTAAATTTGAAGAATGAATCTTTATTATACTGTGTAAAGTGATCATATGCATACTTGCCAACCTCCAACATGTAAAAATCTGGTCATGACCAGATTTGGAAAGTAAAAAATCTGGTCATAACGCGTAACCACATTTACGACACATTTACCATGATTAAATTAAATATATATGTATATATAAGCATTTGTGTATTGAGAATTATTTTATTAAAGTGAGGCTTTAGCTTACAATGACAACAAATTAATATATATTGTCAGATTAAATTTAAATGCTTAAAGGATATGATGACAAATTTCATTGCACAGAATGAAGATAAAGTCAAACATTGATATCTCAGACTTGATAGGACCCTGAAAAAAACTCTGTACATGTATTAGAGATATCAATGTTTGAGATACTGATCATGAAGTTCTACTGTATTTACTCATAAAACTGTATTTGCACATATACATATGCAGTGAAACTTGTCTAATCCAGATGTTGTGTATTCCAAAATCTTGCCAAATAGTAATACCGTCTTATCTTTAAGTCCCCTGCAGTAAATTCAAGTGATAAATGTTGTGTAATCTGGAATGTTGTCTAATCCGGCTAATTTCTTTGGAACAAATGGTGTCCAGATTAGACAAGTTCTAGTGTACTTCTATCATGTTAGAATTTACTTCATTTACAAAAAATTCACTTAAAAATAATAACATTTTTCCAATTCATTGAATACAAACTCTGCCAACCGTTCAAATTATTTCTTCAAATATTAATGTATATATAAATGTACTTTAGCAATTGATACCCATTCCAATATGCTGCCTCAAGTTTATAATCAAGCAGCTATATGGTGTTGCTATACCAATATTAACATAAACTCAACAATTGAAACCACAGGAGTATTACTTCTTCCCCTTGCCCTTGGATGGTTTGGCCAGCAGTGAGGGATTAATGTCCTTAAGGTCCAGCCCTTTGACTGAGAACAGCCTCTCAGCCCACTGCTGTAGGGTCCCCCCACACTTCATCCCTCTCTCCATAAGAAGAGACTTCAATTTCTCAAGTCCTAACACCTCCAGGTCAGCCACACTGCTGTAGTCATCAAAGTCAAATGGCTTGTCATCCTACAAAACATGCCATACAGAATTTATGACACAATATACATATACATGATATAAAAGCTCTATCAGATATCCATATTTATATTTATAAAACAATGTGAAAAGTCTGAACAATTCACTATAACAAAACCTGCCGTTGTAGCAGAAAATGTGAAGCAATACATACAGCTTTACTCAGAAATGCTTTTTTTCTAGGTTAAGTTTGCTTAAAAAAATTCAATCCCTATTACTGTTAGTTCTTTCATAATGTGTTAAAACTACACACCTCTGTTTTCTCTGACTGTTCTGGGGCTGGCTCTGATGTGCTTGGTTTTTTTAAGTCTTGCGTATTACTATCCTTTTGACACTCCTTTTGAGATTTCTCAATGTTTGTCTTATTCTCTGCATTAGAAGGATTTTCTTGTTGTTCCTTCAAATTTGCTTCACATTCTGGTGTTACCTGCTCATTAGAGTCACTGTCTGATGTATTTTCAGTAATCACTGTTACTGTGTGTTCAGATTCTGTTGAGCCATTACCAGCCTCACTTTGATCACCATTACCAGCCTCATTTTGATCTTCATTACCAATCTCACTTTGATCACCATTACCAGCCACACTTTGATCTGCTGAAGACTGATCACTTCTAGGGTCACTTTCTTCATCGCTGTCAAGGTCACTTAGATTCTCAATGTCAATCCCTAACCTAAAAGAATATAATATACACTAGGAATGTCAAAATCAATATTTTCATTATTCCAATAGTCTACTGCATTTGTCAACGAATAGTCAATTATTCGGAACATTATGCTTTTTGCATTCATCAGACTAATTTCTTTTACGAAGAACAATCAATAGTTATCTTTCTTTAGTTTAAGCATGTTTAGACCACACAGCATTTTTGATAGACCAGTCAGCAAGGGTCTAAATAATATTTAATGCATTGCCAACTGAAACTAAGCAGTTTTCTTATTTTTTCAGAAAGTCACAGGGCCAAAAAAGACCCTATTAAGCAAACCTTGCTCTTTTACAATAGGATATCTTCTGCATAGACAATCTGCCTAGAATCTTACCATTCATTGTGCTTCTTGACTTTGTGACAGGGACCCCCCTTGTCATCCCTTTTCCGTTTGAGTCCACTTCCTGATGGCCCAGCCTCTTCCTCTGAGGTAATTGTACATGATGCTTTCTGTTTACTTTGTGCTCGCTGCAATCCTACATACATAAAGAATGAAATTAAACTATCAGTTATATGCACTATATCATAATATAGTTCCTTTAACACAGCATCCAATATCATTAAATGAATTCAAATCGCTTTGCTATGACTGATCAATTTTCAATACAAACTGTACGTAGAGATTTAATAGCTAACCAGTTTGTAAAGCATCCTCTTGGTTTTCTGCCACGACTGCCTTCTGTTTATCATACAGTGGGTCCTCGAACTTGTGATTGGGCAAGGCTCTTCTTCTCTCCATTCTCTCCCTCCTCTTTTCCTCTCGTTCTTTTTCTTGCTCTGCCTTTTTTGCCACCCATTCTTTTAGCCTAACATAATCCACAGCATGAATAAATTTGAATATAGTGTAATACGATTATAATATTTAATAGAATTTTTTTTAATATCTGAATTATTACATTGTCAGATGTAAACCACCTTCAAATATTGTATTCAAATGCACATATTTTTATCAATGCCAAATTCTTGTCAAAGCATTTTTCTTTGCTTGTAAGTTTCCATTGAAACTCTTTTAGATTTTTCAGATACAAGAATACAGGCATTTATAATGGGGGGGAAATGTCAAGAGGAATGGTGGGCACATTGAATTATTTTGGTGGGTTTAAAATTTGTCTACTTTGGTATCATATTCTTCAATACAACCATATTTCAAATATTTTACAATGGAATTTTACACCAAAAAACATGTTTTATTAACCATGCAAAATGTGAAACCAATTAAACTAAATCTCACAAAATAACTTATTACCCCTCTGAAAAATTCTACTTCTCTAGTATTGCAGAAATTCCATATAAAGGTCATATAGTTTAGTACTGACAATTTTCTGCTTAATTCCTTTTAGTCCTAAAAAGTAATAAAAACCTACTGTTTTTCATTGTTGACATCTCTCATTCTTCTCCCACTTAAATCTCGACACGCTTCTCTGTTGTTAGTTTTGTCAATTTGTGCTCCAATGGCCCTCAACATAGAACCAAAACCTAGCAAATAATTATTATAACATTCATACAGGTGTATCATAAGAAAGAATTACTGCTCAATAAACATGAATTCAAGATAGCAATTTCCTATGATTATTTTTTAGGTTCTGCAACAGAAATTACACATTTCATAGATAACTATTTAAATGATTATTTTCAAATTGTTTTACCCTCTCAAGATTTTATCAAAGACTTTTCATAATGTCATATGTATAGTTGTTGGTAAATACAGTAAACTATGAATTGAAATAAATTAACTATAAATCTTGTAATCCTGTATACTGTATGCATGACTTACCTCCCTTCCCACCCACCAACCTTGGTACAATGTGGTAGATGCTGCCCTCTCTGATCTCCTCATGTTTTCGAACAATTTTTCCATTACAAGTGATGTAAAAATCATTCTGAAATTCAATTTAGATAGTTATACTAGTATTTTTGATGTAATTAATTTATTTTAATACAGTTTGTCTAGAAATCAGCATCCTGGGGTTACTAGAAGGTAAGCCTTTTCTATGCCCAAAGCCACACTGAATGTATCTTCATGTGAGAGTAGGTAATGTGTGTTGACAACCAGAGTGTAAATGCATAACAGAGCAAATAAGCTCTTTTCCTACATTTCAGGTACATGGGACATAACTTTGGTGAGAGCCAGTCTCATTAGGCATTTTAACTCCTTCAGTACCAAGTTTATCTACCCAAACATTGTGCACAACATTACAAATTTTTCAGACTAAAATTATTCTCTGTAAAAATTTAGTTTATTTGATAAATGTGATGCAGTTACTGTGTATGATGAGAGATTTTTCATATTATTTTAAAGCATACATTTTTAAATACATAAAATATGAGTAAACACCACTACCAAAGCAGTGATTTGGAAGGTCATGAAGGTCAATGGGACTATGGTGCAACTGTCAAATTTTTAATGGGCCAGTTTGAAAATGAATGGACCATCTATATATTCTGAGGGGCCATTTTAAGAAATAACAAAATGACAAACAAATATGATATACACAAAAAACTTGTTTTTTATAAAGAATTTTTTTTCATGTATGCAGTGCAGCACATTTAAAAGAACTGGCATACTGCATGATTTTTTTTTTTATATTTTTGGACCAGTAAGGTCGCCAAGATCAGGGACCTATATACGTTAGTATTTAAGTCCCAACTGAGATGATTCAACCTGAGAAAATCCTGGGAAATATGTCTTCTGACTTCATCAGTCATTTGTGTGGAATATGTAATTCTCCATTTCATTTTACCAGCTTCCCATAGTCATCAACTCAAAGGGTTACAGCAATAATCACTTTGAAGTTCCAATATTAATGTACAGTTATACAGAGTATGTGTATATTTACATTATCTAAAATAACTTCCAATGTCCATCTGTTGATATGAACTTAGAGAAAATATTCTGTTTGTCTTATTCTCTTTAGCTCTTTAGAGTAGTGGACATGCAGGCTTCTGCCATAGGCGAAATATGAGAATATCTCATAAGCAGTGATAAGAGAATATCTAAAAAGAGAATAGGCAAGGTCCAGCACGATCTCCTGATAAAGCTATATAGCTTTATTAAGCTATTCAGAATAGCTTGATTTAGGTATTTTATCACACTTTTTTCTTACGTGTTATTTTTGCAGCATATACAAAAAGTCGCACCTTGGTGCAGTACGTGGTAGTGTTCAACTTTGAACTCCTCTGAAAACATTGCATGTAAAAAATCACTCATCAAATTACAAGTTCTAAAAGTTTTGGGGCTATATAAAGCAACTGAATTGTGACCATACAGTTACTTCTTGAATGAAATTATATTAAAAGGCCGCAGGCCAGAGGTCAATTCTGGTCAACAAGATCATTGATCGGTAATAACTCACCACAATGTAAAGAAATCATACTTATCCACGCCTCAACATACATAAGGTGCTTTTGCTTAAAAGTATTCAAATGCTGCAATGTTAAGACTAAATTTGAGTATGGTTGCTTTTTTGATAGTCCATAGTACCTAGTATATATTTCAAAAGTCAAATACTTGTGATTTTTTGTCTATGCCTTACAACAGACATTTTTGAGAAAAACTGCATATAAATAGCTTATCAATCAAGCTATTTTGAATAACTTAATAAAACTATATAGCTAATTCAAGCTATAACGTTATAGCTTAGAGATTTTGCCAGACCTGATAGGCTACATATGTATGTCTCAAAGGCAATGATTTCAAGGCTTAGAAAGTAAAATTAAAAAAAAAAAATAAAAAATATGTACTTACATTGTTTGACTCTAAAAGATCGATTATAAGCTTTAGATTGTTCATATTTTTTTCGTCAAAGAGCTCTCCTCCTTTTAATTTCTTTTCGGAGAACTTTCTGGCGAAGTCATCAACGTTTAACAAACGCTTCGAAGATAAAAATTTACCTCCGCAAAGCGAAAGAGTGCGAAAAACCAAAAAACCGACCTTTGAGGTGCAAAATCGAAACTATAATTTTTCGCTACATCCATGGCTGAGGCACCCCCAGACAATATAGTAGAAATAACTTTGGAACGAGGAGATCATGGTAAGTGCGATATATTAGCTGTATATCTGTGCTGTGTTCCTTGCATTTGCTGAACACGAAGTTCGCTATGGTTTCGAATTTCCTCGACCGTTATATTCCGCACCGCGCCGGGATCTAGCAAGCCAGTTTTCTAAACTGAGACTTCTAATGATTTTTCATATTTTGGTGTACGCCAATCTTGCTAGCTGCAGAGCTCAAGATCTTTAGAAAATTGAATATGGACAACCAAACCAGAGAGCTACAGATCCACCCATTGACCATGTTGACACTGTTAATATTAAACTGAGAGATATGTTACCTTTGTAATTGGATTAAATAGCCTTGTAACAGGGTTACAATTGATCATAACTACTATGCGTTTTGCACAAAGTAAACTGTATCTTTGCAAGGTCAGCCCAATGGACAAAAGGGAACGAAATAATGTTTATCTTCTGACTGCTACCAAACATTTGGGCGTGTAGTTATAAGAAACACAAAAACAGAAATTCACATTTCTTGTATTTACAGAATCATTTGTTTAAATATGTGCCACACCCAGCTTAATACCTAAAACTACTCTTTATTGGTTTTATATTTTGATCTTAAATTATGTTAACAAATGGCTAATTTCAGGCACGTAGCTGCCTATACGCAAATATGCAAGTGCGTACACATCATAATCCCCCCCCCCCAAAAAAAGGAGAAAGAAGAAAAAGAAAGAAAAGAAAAAAGAAAGAATTATTCGGAGAAAAAAATCTCAGTACCATCCAAAAAATATTTGTGTTTCAAATTATTCTGTGTCATACATTTTGATTTAAATTTTGAATTATCATGGCTGTATGATAAAATTTGAAATTCTATATTTAATCACTGCCAAATCCAAATAAATCATTCATTATTTTGTCATTGTTCTATCATACATTGATATTTTTTTTAAAGATCTTTGAGAAATTAAATTTCAACCACATCGTTGAATGCTATAATCTACTCTAGTGTGATTTACATTACAATATTTTTTGTTCATAATTAAAATTTAGTATACATGTTTTTAAACGTTAAAAAAATTATATGATACCAATATATCGGTTATATTTTAAGCTTCAACTACATGTACAATAAGTTTCCATAGAAGTTTTAACTTTGTTAAAACAATAAATATTACTATGTCTTTTATTTTACTAGGCTATTATTTTTTTGGCAAGAAAATGAATTAAATATTTGGTAAAACTTGGGAGCTTAATTTTAAGCCCGCATCAGCAGGCACATAGTATGGGGGGGGGGGGTCCACCCCAACTTATATTCAAACCTAACCTTTTACTATTGAAAATGTACATTATTGAAAGGGTGGACCCCACTGTTTCTTGTAGCATTGTTAAATCATGGTGATTTGGTAATGTATTGATAAACTTTGGTTTGTGAAAGTTGGATCCCCCCCCCCCCCCCCCCCCCCCCCCCCAATAAACACACACAAGAAATAGGACTTCAAATTTTGACTTTTTTCTTTCTTGCTTGTCAAAGTGTTTAAAGTTGTAATTTTTTACTGGCTGGCAGAAACTATATTACATGTCTGACCAGAGCCCTTGACACACTGGGGGGCATCAAGACCCCCCACCCCACCCCCTGCCTTTCTCTGCGTACACATCATTTCCATTCTGGCTACGCACCTGAATTTTATTATGGGTTTTATATACAAAAGTTTCAAAACTATGATCAAACGGTGCCAAAATCTTGGATATATATATGAGCAAACATGGGTCACCTGTTCCCTTTTCAAATTCCTCCTTTGTTGTATTAAATTAAAAAAAAAATTATATGAAAAAATAACATTCTGAATTATTTTAAAGGTTTTATATTATTATCTTTCATACTTTTATAGACATGTGATTTAGATACAGGGTTCTCAGAGAATTCTAAACAATAGGCATGATAAGACCCACAAGATTTCAAATGATTGTGAATCTCTGTTATTAATGTCTCTGCTGCAATTATTCCTTGTATTTTACAATTTTCTCTCTTATTTTATGTGTACTATAATCACAGTCTTAGGCAATCAAAATGCAAGATGTCATAAAACTATTTTATGTCAGATGACAAAGTTACGAACCCAAAAGTTGCTAAGGCTACTGTGAGAATTCTATGATTTTTTTTTTTTTGAAAAGAATAGATTCAACTATTGACAAAAGCTACATTTCATGGCAATTTTATTTTTTTGCAAGCTTTATATATTAAGTATTATTTATATCATATATATCACATTATATGAACTCCACTACCTAAAGCATAGTATCCATCTATTTACCCATACTCTTGTTTTTCGGCTCACTTGAACCGAAGGTTTAAGTGAGCTTTTTAGCTCACCTGAGCCGAAGGCTCAAGTGAGCTTTTCTGATCAAAATTTGTCCGTTGTCTGTCGTCGCCGTTGTTGTTGTCGTAAACTTTTCACATTTTCATCTTCTTCTCCAGAACTACTGGGCCAATTTCAATTAAACTTGGCACAAAGTATCCTTGGGTGAAGGGGTTTCAAGTTTGTTCAAATGAAGGGCCACGCCATCCTCCAAGGGGAGATAATTACGAAATAGCAAAAAATTAATGGCATTATTGAAAAATCTTCTTCTCAAGAACCAGTGGGCCAGGAAAGATGAAACTCATGTGGAATTATTGTCAGCTAGTGTAGATTCAAGTTTGTTCAAATCATGACCCCCGGGGATAGGGTGGGGCCACAATGGACGATCAAAGTTTTACATAGGAATATATAGGAAAAATCTTCAAAAATCTTCTTCTCAAGAACAGCAAAGCTATGGTTGGTCATATTTATGTGGAAGCATCCTCAGGTGGTGTAGATTCAAGTTTGTTCAAATCATGACCCCTGGGGGTAGGGTGGGGCCACAATGAACAATCAAAGTTTTACATAGGAATATATAGGAAAAATCTTTAAAAATCTCAAGAACAGCAAAGCCACGGTTTGTCATATTTATACAGAAGCATCCTCAGATAGTGTAGATTCAAGTTTGTTCAAATCATGACCCCCCCCCCCCCCACTCCCTTTTTAGGGGTAGGTTGGGACCACTTATGCATTTAAGCTTTCGCAGCTAGGTTAAGGACGCCCATGAAATATACGCCTTTATATATTCAGGGAAAATGAATACAATTTTAATATTTTTTTTTAACAGCAATAGTTTTGATAAATGTGAATTGTGGTGATTACATTTGTATATATCGGGTCTCTGCTGAGTTCGGCCAAAGTGACATCGCTTACATCAGCTGTTTGTCACGTGACAGGTTTAAAATTGGACCATATATGTACTACTACAAAAGATCGTAAAAGTTCAACGATATACGGGCATTCTTCCGCTATAAAATTTATTTTGTTTTCTTTGAGACAAATTCCTTAACCCGAAAAGTGCTGGGAGCAACTTCCTCATGCTTGAGAATTGTTTAAAATTTAGCCGTCTTTCTATAAACTCCAGACAAAAATGTAATACACATTGGAATAATGTTAGATTACGGAATAAATAAACAATGTACAACCAGCTCCCAGCACTTTTCAGAATAGTAGGAATAATGGCTACACGTGTTTAAAAATTCAGAATTTATAGTGAAACGGATATCGTTGAACTTTTGATATTTTCGAGGGGCTGGACCCCTCATTCTAACACGTTACTGTACAAATGTGCTCCCTACGGCTATATATAAAGTCTACACATTATCAATTTAGTTTGACAATAAAATGTAGATTAATATATTTCAGAATATGTCTCTCTTTTTGTATGACTACGCATGTCTCGTATTTATTTTTATTTTTACAAGCCACGATAAAAGTTTGATCCACGCCTCAAATACAGAGAAACTGCGTGTCAAACTAAGAAATGACGTCATCTCAGTAAGTACAGCGAGATCAAGCTGGCTTTCATTCTGCATACGCTAAGTGCTATTATGGCAAGATAAGTTGCACATCCATTTATTTTTATAACATTTATGAGAAACGAAAGTATTTCGTGTGTTTTAAAAAGAACATTATAGTATTTATTCATCGAGATTCATTTGTATTGTTTTAACGTGACGTCATAATAGCTCTCCCAAACCTCTGCATAGGCTGACGTAGATATGGGAGTCCTTAACCTAGCTGCGTTTCAATACTAAACTGATTTTTCCTTTTTTCCTAGCCACAGTGCTCAGGTGAGCGATGTGGCCCTTGGGCCTCTTGTTGTTGTCCATTGTCTGTTGTCATTGTTGTCGTCATAACCTTTTTACAATTTCATCTTCTCAAGAACCACTGGGCCAATTTCACCCAAACTTGGCACAGAGTACCCTTTGGAGAAGGTTCAGATTTGTTCAAATGAAGGGCCCCGATCCTCGTCTAAAGGGAGATACATGTAATTAAGAAATAGTGAAAGTTGTTGGGGTTATTTAAAAATCTTCTCAAGAACCACTGGGCCAGAAAAGATGAAATTAATGTGAAAGCTTCCTGACATGGTTAAGATTCAAGTTTGTTCAAAATCATGACCCCTGGGGTTAGGGTGAGGCCATGGGCAATCAACTTTTTACATGAGAATACAAATGAACAATCTTTAAAAATCCATTTCCTGAGACCATTGAATCCATGAATAGTCATATTCATATTGAAGCATCCTCAGGTAGTTATATTCTAGTTTGTTGAAATCATGACCCCCTGGGGTAGGATGGGGCCATAATGGTTGATCAAAGTTTTACATAGGAATAGATCTATAAGAAAAATTTTTCTCAACAACAGCAGAGCTATGTATATGGAAGCATCCTTAAATAATGTAGGTTCAAGTTTGTTCATATCATGACTACCTGGGGGATCGGGGGTTGGGTCAACTTATATTTATATATATACTTATAATTGAAAACTGTTTTCTGCTTTTTCTTAGCCAAAGTGCTCAGGTGAGCAATTTGGGACATGGGCCTCTTGTTTTCATTTAACCTTCAATGCTCCTAGAATGTGGCATTGTAATGTCAGATTCTACTCTACTGCATTACAATAAAGGGGCATAAGTTTAAACAGTGTTTCATGCAATTAATTTCACAACAAATATCATTTAGAAATGTTGCAAAGTCAATGAAGTACCATAAGAAAAGTAGGAGTAATATCTATGTTTAATCAATGGTTGCCAAGCTCTCAGGAGGGAATTGCATATAATGTGAGAAATGATGCTTAACTAAAGAGTTTGCAACCAAAAAAAAAATGTTACCATTATTCAAAGGTTTTTTTTTCCCTTTTTTTTTTTTTGGATGAAGAGATCTGTGGCTATCTAATAAGTCAGTCTGTCCAAATTTTATTTATCAGAGAGCTATATCTACAGTTCTGCAGTACTGTATTATAAGAAGTCATCATGGTAACACATTTGGTGCATAAAATAATATAGTTTTTAGCTCACCTGAGCCGAAGGCTCAAGTGAGCTTTTCTGATCACATTTTGTCCGTCTGTCCGTCTAGCTGTCTGTCCATCTGTAAACTTTTCACATTTTCGACTTCTTCTAAAAAACCACTGGGCCAATTTCAACCAAACTTGCCACAAAGTATCCTTAGGTAAAGGGGATTCAATTTTGTTCAAATGAAGAGCCATGCCCTCTTTCAATGGGAGATAATTAAAAATTAGTGAAAAATTAATAGCATCTTTTAAAAATCTTCTCCTCAAGAACCCCAGGGCCAGGAAAGATGAAACTCATGTGGAAACATCCTTAGGTAGTGTAGATTCAAGTTTGTTCAAATCATGACCCCTGGGGGTAGGGCAGGGCCACAATGGACAATCAAAGTTTTATATAGAAATGTGTAGGAAAAATCTTTAAAAATCTTCTTCTCAGGAACAGCAAAGCCATGATTGGTCATATTTATATGGAAGCATCCTCAGGTAGTGTAGAGTCAAGTTTGTTCAAATGATGACCCCTGGGGGTAGGGTGAGGCCACAATGGACGATCAAAATTTTACATATTTAGGAGAAATCTTTAAAAATCTTCTTCTCAGGAACAGCAAAGCCAAGATTGGTCATATTTATGTGGAAGCATCCTCAGATAGTGTAGATTCTATTTTGTTCAAATGATGACCCCGGGGGGTAGGATGGGGCCACAATGGGGGATCAAAAATTTTACATAGGAACATATAGGGAAATATTTTCTTCTCAAGAACAGAAAATCATTTTTAGTCATTTTGATATGGAAGCATCCTCAGGTAGTGTAGATTCAATTTTGTTCAAATGATGACCCCAAGGGTTAGGGTGGGGCCACAATGGGGGATTGAAAGTTTAACATAGGAATATATAGGAAAAAATTTTCTTCTCAAGAACAGAAAAGCTATGTTTAGTCATATTGATATGGAAGCATCATCAGGTAGTGTAGATTCAAGTTTGTTCAAATGATGACCCCTGGGATAGGGAGGAGCCACAATAGGGAACAAATTTTTATATAGGATTATATTGGAAAAATATTTTAAAAATCTTCTCAAGTACAACAGCACCACTTGTTATATTGACATGGAAGCATCTGCATATCGGGTTTATATCTCTCAGTTGATTCGATATGCCAGAGCATGCTCTAGGGATAAATAATTTCTAAAACGAGGTAAGTTATTGATGAACAAGTTGATGAAACAAGAATATCAGCAGTCTCATTTAAAGTCATCATTTCTTTAGTTCTATGGTCGATACAATGACCTTGTCAGCAAATACAATCTTTCATTAAGTCAAATGCTGACTGACTTTTTTCGTAGTAATTGTTAGACCATTATTTACACATGAATTGTCGACAGATTTTTCCGTTATTTCCCATCATGACAAGGAGCACACGGCGGGTGTGACTGGTCGGCAGGGGATGCTCACTCCTCCATGGCACCTGATCCCACCTCTGATGTCTTAGGAGTCCGTGTTTGCTCTGCTCCTATTTTGTAATGTTTAATGGACTTTTGAGCTCAAATACTGTTCGTTATCGCCACATTTTTCTTCAGGTAGTTTAAATTTAAAGCCCTCCCCCGTAATCTTTTCAATACTGAACTGATTTGTGCTTTTGCCTAGCCAGTGTGCTCAGGTGAGTGTTGTGGCCCATGGGCCTCTTGTATTGCATTGCTTTAAATTTCAAATTGTATTACAGGTCTAGGTTTTAACATCAGAGGAGGTGTAGACATTCCATATGTACAAGGAGATTCGGGAATATTTGTGACCAAAATCAGAGAGGATGGTGCAGCATTTCAAGATGGTCGTTTAAGAGAAGGAGACAAAGTTCTTGAAGTATTTATTCATTGTGTCATCATTTTTTTTTACACTTAATTGAGGCTGCTTAATTGGCCTTGAAAATATCTTTAGAGATTTATCAACGCTCTAGCCAAAATATTAATGCACCTGAATACAATGAGATTCATTATTTTGCATGATGAAAGTTCTCATTGCAAATTGAAAAATACATGTTCATCAATATTTTTTTTCTATCTTCCTTTGCTCATGGTTTCTAGCACCAGCACTTCTTTCCTCCACAACTTTTTCTGCCTTGAAGATCTGAAGGAGGGAGGAGGGGACTTATAGTTTTGATGCCTTAATTGTCTTTCTATTTTTCAGTTCATGATTTTTATATGCCAGTCTTAAGATAGAACATATTATGGTATGGCGTTCATGTCCATCTGCCTGTCTGTAACTTTTTCTTGTTCAGCTCATAACTTATGAGGCCTAGAATTATCAGACAAAAGTTTGATAGAGAATAATCAAACTTTTTCAGATGATACACATTGGGTAGAAGATGTGTTGAACATTTAAAGTAGATCGCTGTGACATTTAATTGATATGGCCAAATATGGCAAAATTCTGTTTTGCTCATAACTGGAAAATTATTGGACCTAGAGTCATCAAACTTAGTCAATTAATGCATCTTAGGTAGAAGGTGTGTCACATCCTACTTAAAGGTCACTGTGACCTTTAATTAGGGTTTTTGTTTTGAACATATTTTATTGTATAATTAACACAAAGGGATTGGTTACAAGTTCTAACAACTTAGGAAAACCTTTCCCCATAAATACATACAGTAATTATATCTCTTGGGAACCGGGCAAAGGAATCTGGCCTCTTAATTGCAATTGATAGTATCTGGCATATCAAAATAGGTCTTATTAAATATTAGGTATCCATTACTTTAAAAATCAATTTGTTATAAAGTTATTAAAATGAATTTGATATTGTACAAAATAATATTTTAATTATTTTTATATCTCAACAACCAATTGCAGAGTGTCATGTCTCACTAAGATGACAGTTTTACATTAATTAATCAGTCTATTGCCATAGAAATAATGATTAGTGTTTTGATGTTTTATAAGGCTTTAGCATTGTTCTTTACAACAGATGGGCATCTGTAAACTCTTACACAACCAGTTGAGAAATATATGCTATATTATCTGTTCTAATTAATTACTACACATAGGAGAGGCACTTTCAAACATTAAGATGGAAAAATCATTGAAATTTTTCAACCAAAGTTGACATGGTTTTCTTCTTTGCACTCTAATCTGTAAATGATAATTGAACAATATTTGTCGGGTGTATCATGTGCAGGGGCAGTGCACATTATTATCTTAGTTGAACACTGTTCAATGTTAAAGATCAAAGTTAAAAAAAAAAAAAAAAAAAAAAAAAAAAGCTTTGTTCATACATCATTGTTCAAACTGGGCTTTGTAGGTACCATGACTCTACATGTATGTTCATAATTGCAACCACGTCTAGTTTTCTCATGGCATTTAACATTTTCAGTTTAATAAAAAGATAATAAAATGAATTAAAATCTTTGGCAAAGGTGGGTTTTGGGGATTGATAAGTAGTATAGATAAAATTTGACGAAAAAAAGAATGGAAGAATATCTTTCACTAAAAATTGAGCCTGTTCAACATGTAGGCACTTCAAACTCTAAAAGTAGAGTTCTTGTCCTTGATACCAGTACTCAGCTTTGTTAATTATCATGTATTTATTTTGCATTGTTTTAAGGTTTCTTTGGTGTATTATATTTTTGCCATTGAGTTTTGTCTCTTTTACTTCAGATTAATGGCCATAGCTTGGACAGAGTCACACATAATGAGGCAGTACAACACTTTGTCAATGCTGGGGAGACGATCACATTGAGGGTTTTGCAGGGGGCAGAGGAGGCAATACAGGTGAGTTAATCCAAACTCATATGTATAAGGCATATATATTACAGCAGTATACAAACATTTGTATTTTATAAAAAGGTGTCTTTCCTTTATAAATTGAATTATAATCCATAATCTCTTAATATAATAAGTAGTAAGTAATTAATAGCCATTCTCTGTAACCACTTAAACTTTTGTGGCATGCATAGTCATAGATTTTTTTCAAATTTGGCTGGAATTCAGCACCTCATAAACTACTCCAAAAAATATTGTTAGATCATATGAATGTTGAGCAGTTACCATGGAAACAGTGTCTAAAGTTGATTTTTTCTGAAAATATGCAATTTTTAGGAATGTTATTCAATGAAATGCGGCTACTTCAATTCATGATACTCACAGAAATAAAAAGTATGACATCTGATTTTAAAAGACATTTAAAAACATTGTTGGTATTCAGTCTATAAATATGAGAAATCTATGATTAAAATAGCAGACATTCATTTAAAAATTGAATTATCTCCCTTTGATAATTGTGAGCTCTTTAGTGTGAGAGATAAAAAAAATCATTGGACAAAACTGACTGGAAGTTGCTTACAATACGTTATATTTCCATTAGTGAACTCTTCAAAATTAGAGGCACGTTTGGTCGTCTGACTGGGACAGCATGGTGTTGCGGATAATACGAAACACGCCAATCTCAATCCAATTTTAAATGTTAAATGTATTTGTCATTCCAATTAAAGAATAGAAGAACTAAAAGACATATGTAAAAGAGCGAGAACCCTAAATTTATCATCCATTAATAAAAAATACGATATTTCCGAGGCATGTGTATTGTATTTAGATGTACCATACGATAAATAGATACATACGATCAACAATAGATATAAATTGATATCGTTGTCATTCCTACTCTTGATGTATATAAAGTCCACAACAATAAAATATTTCATTTGCATTTTCTTAGGATTTGTTCATCAACATTCAACACATTGTTTACATGTTTACGTTACATTTGTCCCAGAAATCCCGCGAGATTTGTACATTTTCCGACTTTTTCACAAAAGAGCGCACTAAGAAGTATAACTCTTTCCTAGTGGAAATAGAACGTATTGTCAACATATATCCTGGATTTCAAGTAAAATCAAGTGTTTTTTCTGTTTATTTAATGTGCATACAAATTTTAACCTCTTTGTTTATTTCCTGGATGCAAAAGAGTAATTTTGATGTATGAACAATGGCGAAATGTACATGATCACACTATAATGTGAGAGAAGTAGGCTTTTGATTTCACCTAAATGATTAGATTCAAGCTACATTTAAATGATCATACAAAACTGGAAGTTGAAAGTTGGATAAAAAATAGACTTGGCAACAACAAAGTACAGGTGTATCAAGTTTATATTGAATGAAGTGATGTAAGTTGATGCCTGTCATTAAAGGGAGGACCATTTGATTTGTTGGGGGGGGGGGGTGACAGATTTTAGAAACTTATAATCTGTTCTTGAAATTGTTGAAAATAAATAATCTGTCCTCTACTGACAGGAAAATAAATAATCTATCCTTGATAAGTGCTACAACCCCCACCCCCACCCCCACCCAAAGGCACTTGTTTCGGTAAATAATTTTTTTTAACCCATTAATAGTATAATAAGTATTATTATTATACTATGGGTTAAAAAAATTATTACCAAAATAAGTGCCCCCCCCCCCCTTCCCAAGAAATAGAGTTTGGGCGTATTCCTTTTTTTTTTTTTTTTTTTTTGGCTCTTCAGACTTTTTTTAAGGTGAAACAGAAAATAAATAATCTGTCCAGGATCATCTTGGAAATAAATAATATGGATTTCACTACCACGAAAATAAATAATCTGACTAGGAAAAAACAAACGCTCTTTACACCCCCATCTAAAATTAAAGAACGAAAAAGTATATTTTATCTCTATTTAAAGGCTACATGTAGAAAAAAATCCACACCTAAAAACCAGTTTTTAGTGAAGGATGTAACAGAAAATTTAATCTTTTTAATTCTTCCTACTGTTTGCCTTTATCTGTATCACAAAGAAAGAGAAAAGTTATGAGTGTATATTTCAGAATTTGCTTTTTTATTCAATGATTTTGAAAACATTTAGAAAGAAATTGATAATTTTGCTGAAGCAAGAATTTTCTTTAAAGGAAAGGTCTTTACCCAATAAAAAAAGAATAAATTGTTAAGGCCAATAATAAAAATGTTTTGTTTGATTCCTGTCGAACAGTCAAAATTATACTTTCATTTTTTTTTTGGAGGGGGGGTGGGGGTGCATAGAAATACAAATTGTCTGAATCATATTTAAAGTTAACGGTTTATCATTTTTCTAGACTAAGATACATTTAGATTGAACCTTGTAGCAGTAAGATTAATTTTAAATCTGTCTAGCTGTATTTCATTTACAACGAAAACATAAATAAATTTCTGACAAGCCCCCCCCCCCCCCTTTCTACCAAAAAAAAAATCATAAAATTAAATTTAAAAAATCTATACCCCGGGAATGGGGGCAGGTTGGGGTTTTGTATCACTTATGAATGAATCACTTCGGAATCCTTTAATATTTATAAATAACGCTTCTTAACGTTTTACAAGGGATTTTTTTTTTTACATGGTACCTGGAAGGGATGGAGTAAGTCCTGGTCATTGGTTACTTTACTATATTCATTTTTTTAAATAAAATGAAAACCGTAGGAATAAGGCAGGGACATATTATTTATTTTCAACATTTTCAAGGACTAAACTTTGGAAATTATGTTTACATTACACACCATAAGGTGTACGATTCCATCAAGCTTACCAACCAACTCAAATTAAGCAACCGACATAAATTCAAGAAAGCACAAAAACAGATTATTAAATTTTGGGAAAAAGCAGATATATTATGTGTAAACCCATGCATATTTGGGTTGAAATATTCATCATCAATGTCTCTAAATTTTCAAGTTTTTAAGAATAATATTGCAAAGTAATTTAAAAATGGATTTAGGCTTTTTCTGTCAATTTCTCTGAAAAAAGTCACAGGAAAACATAATTTGATTGTCACTGGAAAAGTGTGGGCTGTTGAATAGGGTCAAAAATGTACATTTTAGAACAAGGACTTAGTCTACAAAAACAACAAAAGAGTTCTTACATGCATGTAGCACAATTCTCTACGTACAAGTCATTCAATATGGTAAGTGTATAGGCTTTCAATATTTTGACTTGGCTACATTTTTATCAATAAATGACCTTTAAAAAACATTCTCATAGCATTTTCACATTATATATGGATCAAGCTAAAGGTGAGAATGTAATTTATTTACCAGTTTCAGTATAAAACAGGATACGCTTTCACAATATCCAAGTATAAATGCAATACTAACAAGCTAATTCAGAGAATCTGTGTCCCCTGCTTAAGGAAAAAAGAAGAGCATGTACGGATCTAGAGGGGTGGTGGTCGTAGGGTGGTGGGGGACGGGACACTTTCAGAGGAGCGGACTGGACCATAGGGAGTTATGATATAAAATTTCATTGCAAAAGCTTAAAAGCTTATATGAAAGTTTTACACACAAACAGAATGTATAAATTTTGACATTGACCTTTGACCTTTTGACCTCGAAATCAATAGGGGTCTTCTTTAGTTCATAGGGAGTTGTGGTTTAAAATTTCAATGCAAAAGCTCGAAGGCTTCTCGAGATATCGCACAGAAATAAAGTGTTTAAACATACTGAATTTATGAATTCATGACCTTGACCTTTGACCTTAAAATCAATGGGAGTCTTCCCTAGGCCATAGGGATTTTTAATGCAAAATTTAATTGCAAAGGCTCAAAGGCTTCTCGAGACATCGGGCCGAAACTAAAGTGTTACAGAAAGACAGACTGACGGACAGATGGACGGTCAGACAGACCCAAATCAATATCCCCCACTTTCAGTGAAAGCGGTGGACAAAAAGGCAATTTTTATATACCATTGTGACCTTGTACTTTGACCTTCTGTCTGTATTTATTAATTCAGGTGATGCTACATGTAGTTATTGCCCACCAGAATGGTAATTTTGTTTATTCATGCTGTTTAAAACAAAAGTATTAGTTGGGACACAGAAAAAAAATGTGTTCAGTTTCCTTAAATTTCTATCTAAATCGAGCCATTTTGACCTTGACCTTTGACCTTTTGTCATGAAAATTGATTTTTCTCTTTGTTTTTGCTATTGTGTACCACATAACTAGATTTGTTTTCAATTCATTTTAAAATACTCAGGTATTTATATGGAAACTGATTGTAAATATCTATTGCCCTTGTCTAGAATTCTTTGAAAAAGCATAAGTTTGTAACCATGGTAACACGAAAACAAAATATGAATACCAAGTGTTTCTTTGCAGTTTATATAAGAACTATATATGGACTTTCAAACCAATGTATTTAATTTTTCCCATATGTCCGCAAAATTTTACACCAGGCTTTTCAAAAGAGCATAAAATCTACAATTTTTCCACAGAAAAATCCTACCTAAAAACGGGCGATATTTTTTCTATTAGGTAAAGTTACTCAAATACTAGAAATTATCTAAAGAACTATAAAAATGATGTATTTTGGCAAAAAGATGAAGTCATGTAAATATCTTGTTGTGTTAAAGACTTTTAATTAGTCAAAAAGGGTCATTTTTCATCAAAATTTAGCCTTTTTTAGGCCATGAAAAATGTATGTTGGTTGCCATGGTAACCATGGACCATAGCAACCATTTTATTATGAATTTTAGTTTCATACATCAATATAGGAATGTGTGCCAAGTTTCATAAAAATCTAAGACCTAGCATGCCACACTCCCTATATAAGAGTTTAAATGCTTACAGAGAATGGCTATTAATAAGTAATCGGAAATTAATTATTTTACTGCACTCCCTTTTCTATTATGAGGAAGAAATGCAGGGTAATCAATATGGGTTTTAGGCTACTGACCAAAGCCTTACAATACTGAGGTACAGGGAGCCATAGTATTGTTCCATGGTTAAAGCTTCAAATTGAAGTCCATGTCAGTGTTCATTTTTAAACTAAGCAGAAAATGACTGTACAATATTAAATTTTAAACATTTAACCAGATACTTTACAATCTTACTAAGTTATAAAAGTGAATTGATAAATGTTGTGATAATTTGAATCCAAAGTTTAGTAATCTGCTTTAGCTATTACTATGAATACATCTATTAAGAAATAAAGTTGACACCTGAATTTTACTCTACAGCAGCAGCAGAGGGAGAATGAAGAGAATGAACAAGGCCCATCCCCAGCTAGCTCCCGTTCCTCCATACCACGCATTCCCTCGAATTCCTCCTCCTCCTCTTCAAATACAGCTCTCTTTGGTAGCTTATTTTTGGTGGCAGCAGCAACAGCAGCTGCTGCAGCTTACGTTTACTTTAGGTACAGAAAATGAACAGTAATAGTTCAATATGTAACATTCAATTGTTTTAAAACACACCGTGAGGGATCATCCATCATAAGTTATTTAAATCATATGTACAAAATTTTGATTAGTGGCAGTTTAGACTTATTCAGAGCTTCTGTATGATAATGTGATAGTTACAATTGTAATGCAATGTGTTTATTTCCTGTCTCTTGCAAATTGCAAGATTTTTATTTTTGAATAAATGTTTTGCTCTATTGAATTTCTACATCTTATTCTTATATTCTTTTTAGCTCACCTGAGTCAAAGGCTCTAGTGAGCTTTTTTGATCAAAATTTGTTGTCCGTCGTTGTCATTATCGTTGTTGTTGGTGTCATGAACTTTTTACAATTTTTTCTTCTTCTCCAGAACCACTGGGCCAATTTCAACAAAACTTAGCACAGAGTATCTTTGGGTGAAGGGGATTCAAGTTTGTTCAAATGAAGGGCCACATCTTCTTCCAAGGGGAGATAATTAAGAAAACGCAATATTTGGGTGGGCTGATTTAAAAAAAAACTTTTTCTCAAGAACAGGATAGCCATTAAAAGTCATATTCATATGGAAGCATCCACAGGTAGTGTTAATTCAAGTCTGAGCAAATCACGACCCCTGGGGGTAGGGTTGAGACACAATGGATGGTCAAAATTTTATATGGGTATACATAGAAAAAATCTTTTTCTTACGAACAGCAAAGTCATAATTAGTCATATATGTATGGAAGCATCCTCGGGTAGTGTAGATTAAAATTTGTTAAAATCATGACCCCAGGGGGTAGGGTGGGGCTACAATAAGTTTAACAAAGGAAAATATAGTAAAAAATCTTTTTTTTTCAAGAAAAGCAAAGCATAAGCAGTCATATTTATATGGAAGCATCCACAGATAGTGTATATGTTACATTAAAAGTTTAAATCTAAAGTTTAAACTTATCTATAACTATCTAGTTAGTTATAGATAAGTTTAAACTTTTAATATAACATATATTCAAATTTGTTAAAATCATGACCCCTGGGGATAGGGTGGGGCCTCAATGTGCAGTTAAAGTTTTACATAGGAGAAGTCATTAAAAATCTTCTCAAGAACAGGAAAGCCATGATTAATCATATTTATATGGAAGCATCCTCAGGTAGTGTAGATTCAATTTTTTTTCCAAATCATGACTCCTGTTGGTAGGGTAGGGTTACAATGTGGCAATCAAAGTTTTACATAGGAACATTTAGGAAAAAGAATCTACTGATGAAGAACAAGAAGGGCTATAGTTACTCACATGAGCGTTGTGGCCCATGGGCCTCTTGTTTTTTTATTTTAACTTGAGTCAAAGGCTCAGCTGAGCTTTTCTGGTTGAAATTCACTTTTTTAATGTCTTCACCAGAACCACTGGGCCAATTTAAATCAATCATCAAAACATCCTTTCAATTTGATTTTTATTCAAATGATGAGCCACACCATTTGAATCAAATTAAGAAAAAAGTGGGTTTAAAAAAAAATTAAGAACCATTGGGTGAGAATTAATCCTCTTCTAGTGTAAATTCAAATTAGTAAAATTCATGCCCCCCCCCCCCCCCCAGCACTAGAATGGGTCCACAATGAAAGATAAAATATTTAAGATACAGGTATAGTTATATGTAGAAAAAAAAATCTGAGAAAATCTTTTCGAAGGAAGCATGACAACAACAAGTTATGTAAAAGTAGAAACTGGTTTGTTCAATCAAAGATTGGTCCCTGTGGCTAGTTTGGGATCATAATGTGGGGCCAAAGCTTAATAAGGGAATACATAGGAAAATATCTTTTAAAAGTGTCTTCTAAGGAACAGCAGGTCCCTAATAATTCATATGCAAGCATCTTCCTGTATTGTAAATTCAAATTTGTTCAAATTAGGAGAGATGAATTATATTTTTTGCCTAATTTTTTTTTTTTTTTACGATGAAAACTTCAGACTCCTGTGGGTCACGGTGGGTAGTGGGTCAAAGTTTTACACGGGGATATATATAAAGAAAAAGAATCTAAAAAAAAATTTCTAAAGAAAAGGTGGACAGAAATTAGTAAAATACTGAAAGTAGATAAACCATATCCATGTCATGTACATGCATATTTGTTCAAATTATGGCCCCTGGGCTCTCTTTTGGGTAGAGCAACAGTAAAGGTCAAGGTTTTACATGGAAATATATGAGAAAAATCATTAGAGCCATCTTCTTAAAAAAAAACATTGCCACAGTTAGATACTGACACTTAAGCATCCCCATTTAATGAAGATTCATGTTTATTTTGAGTAATGGCCTCACAGATTAGGTCAGGTCACTGTAAGGGAACACATAAATGCAGAAATGTATAATGACATTCACAAAAACAAAATGATAAAAAATGTGAATTTGACATGAAGTCTCAGTATTGTAACAGTGTAATAATTGATATTAATTTGGTGACCATATATATAGGGTTTAATGTATCTACCAGAACAGAACATCTTTTTCCAGGAAGAGAACAATTACTCTGATTAGCATTGTGGACTATGGGCCTCTGATTTTATTTTTGATTTTCTTCGGCCACTGTTTTGTGAACTTTTCAGAAACTCCATGCATTTCACTTGAAGAAATTTGGTTACTTAATGTTATTGTCCCCCGCTTTCACTGAAAGAGAAAACCTCTATCAAGTTTTAGATCAAAAAGTCATGGATAAAAATTCATATCGTGAATATAGTTTCCTGGTGAAAATTCATATCTTGAATATAGTTTCCTGGTGAAAATTTTATTTCTTTTTGAGGTTTTCAAATGAAATGTTTATACTTTTAGTCAATATGACTTATAAAAGACCCCTATTGAATTTAAGAACCCTCTATACACTGTACACTAAAGAGTTCTGATTCTGTCGCATTTTTTTGTAGTTAGAGTAATCTGCCCTTAGATCTAAAATACAATTTTTAATCAATTCAAGCATTCTTGACATTTTGATAGGCCAAGATGAATTAATTGAAAACCTCATCTGCATGCTTTTTCCCCACTTAGGTAAACAACAGTGATTTCTGTTCATCAAAACTTTGTTGACTTTGAACATTTTTCCTGGGGTAAAAGCCAGGCACCCTATGTTGAAAATGATATAAATAAGCTCCATATTTCCACCTTTATAAGATATAATTTTCTCAATGTCCAAAAAAAATTTTGTTTAGTGTAGAGAGGGTCCTTAAAGTCAAAAAGTCAAAGACCAATATTAAGGTAAGAAATTCATATTTAAATTCATATATTGCATACATAGCTTCCACATGATAACTTAAGTTTTCTATCTGTTCTCTCTGTTCTTCACAGTTCACTTTTGTCAGTGATACATGTATAAAGGTTTCTGAGGTCATGGAAATTATATTCATACTGAAACAGATTGTGGCAATCAAATTGTATCAATATATGATGGATCGATACACCTATAGAGGTCATTTATTTGAACATTGGAGATTTTTCTTACCAAAGCAGCAAAGGAAAAGGTACTAATATTTGAAGCCACAATAACAACTGATGTAAAAGGAGTTACTGACAATTTTTACCTGGCTAACTAAAGAGTGCATTAAAATCGGTCACAGAAAAGCAAAATATAATCATGGAATGCTGTGGAATAATCATGCACTTTTCATGGGGGAACAAATTAATGTTTGTTAATTTCATGCGTCACCCTTATCCATGAATTTACATCCCCTCGAACAATTAATTTTACATTTTTATTCATTGAATCTTCTGTATATACGGCCAATATATGATCAGTTGAGCTCCACCAACTGGCAGATGCCATGTCAATTATAAAATTTTGTTCCCATTTACCCATAGACATTATGTGGCAAAATTGGTTGTAATTGGTTCAGTGGTTCCAGAAAGGAAGCTGAAAATGTTTTTTGTTAAAAAGATAAAAACAGACACATGTAGCAAAAGGTCACATTAGTGACTAGGGTGACTTAATAACACAAAAAACTTCTCCTCTGCTTTTTAATAAGGGCTTGGAACCTTCTGCTTGAAAAAAAAAGCCAAAATGAAAGCAATGTTGTTTTTTTTTCAAGCAGGCAGCATTAAAAGTTTTGTGCTTTTTTTTTCTGTTTTTTTTTTTGTTTTTTGTTTTTTGTTTTTTTTGTTTTTTGTTTTTTTTTTTAGCTTCTTTTTTTTTGGCTTCTTTTTTTTTTACTTGTTTTTTTTTTTCATATTTTCTTTCTTTTTTCTTTTGTTTTTTTTTTCTTGGTTGTGATTTTTTTAACAATGCACAAAACTTTGGCCAATGAGTTCAGAAAATTTAACAATGCACTAATTCAAAAATATTCATTCACTGTCTCAGTTTAACATTTACTAATACAATTAACATTTCACTGCATAACTATTTACAATTCACCATTCACTGTCACAATTTTACATTAACTACTAATTTAACATTTACATCTACTTTCACTGCATAACTTAAGTCGCAATTTATCATTCACTGTCACAATTTAACATTTATGTAACTAATACAATTAACATTTACAAGTATTTTCACTGCATAACTATTCACATTTCCCCATTCACTGTCACAATTTAACATTTACTACTAATACAATTAACATTTACAAGTATTTTTACTGCATAACTAGTTACAATTCATCATTGACTGTCACAAATACAACAACACATTTACAGCTACTTTCACTGCATTAACTCATTAAAATCCACCATTCACCATCACAAATTTACATTTACTAATACAAGCAATAAACATTAACATGTACTTTCAACACAGAACTAGTCACACCAATAATAAATGCTGATTTACATTCAATAATACAATACATTCTTAGTCACTATTGACCATCTTATTACAATAGAATGAGTGAACTTGTATAGACTAATCACAATTATAGCAAAACAATAGATAATAGAAGATATTTACATTAGAATATTTTCAAAAATAACATACCGGTAATTATTTCAATGGCATAGAGAAAAAGAATGGGGTCAGTGTGGGAGGAAACCGGAGTACCCGGAGAAAACCCACGTGTCTGAGTGGGCGACCCCATACCCTCTTACAACTCAGACACCCATTTCCAAAACAAATGTTTCAAAGAAATTTGTTTTGGATAATAAAAAAATGATAACATTGTAAATGGATGTGCTTGTGTATGCGTCACAGATCTGGCTTTCTGCATTGTCATCTTTCTTTGTCTTTTTCCAAACACGATCACAAGGATTTGCCTCTTCAATACTTTTATTTTCTGTCAATGGATGAAAAAAAATAGTATTTAACCATTAGGACCGACAAAGTAAAAATGAAGAACAGATTTTTACAGAATGGAATACTTGGGTAACTTATTCCCATACCTGAGGGCTCCTTGTCATTCATAATGTCAAGCACACCATCATGACATCATTTGAGTCTCGTACTAGGTACTGTCACCAAATCATCAAAGCACACTTATAAAATAGAAGTTAATACTTCAGCATCTACAATAGTGTAAGACAAAAATTAAGAATATTTTAGCAAAATATTTTATAGCCCTAAGATGATATTCTTTTGCTGTACTTTTTCAAAAAAAAAGATGCTGGATTATTGATTATGTCACATACCTGATCAGTTACAGTTATCATCAATGATAAGTCTTGCTATTGGGAGGGTTAACATCCATCAGTCTCATCTTTTCCAGTTTCCACCAATTCCTGTCTGGCTGTAGCTCTTCATTTCCACATCTTGGAGGGTTAAGGTGCATCAACATTGCATTTTCCAGATGATTCCACCAATTCCTGTCTGGCTGTAGCTGCTCCTTTCCACATCTTCAAGGGTCAACATCCATCAGTCCTGGCATTTCCAGTTGTTTCCGCCAATTCCTATCTGGCTGTAGCTGCTCATTTCCACACCTTTGAGGGTCAACATCCATCAGTCTAGCCCTTTTTCAGTTTTTTCCAGCATTTCCTGTCTTGCTGTGGCTGCTCATTTCCACATTGTGATGGGTCAATGTCCATCAGTCTTGCCTTTTCCAGGTTTTTCCACCAATTCCTGTCTGGATGTAGCTCTTCATTTCCACATCCTGGAGGGGTAAGGTCCATCAGCATTGCATTTTCCAGATAATTCCACCAATTCCTGTCTGGCTGTAGATGCTCATTTCCACATTGTGATGGGTCAATGGCCATCAGTCTTGCCTTTTCCAGGTTTTTCCACCAATTCCTGTCTGGATGTAGCTCTTCATTTCCACATCTTGGAGGGGTAAGGTCCATCAGCATTGCATTTTCCAAATAATTCCACCAATTCCTGTCTGGCTGTAGATGCTCATTTCCACATCTTAGAGGGTAAATATCCATAAGCATTGCATGTTCCTGATGATTCCACCAATTCCTGTAAGGCTGCAAATGCTCTTTTCCACATTGTTGAAGAAAAACTTCACCAACACCCTTTCTTTAGGTCTCCTTTCCAGCCTGTCAGATGTAATTGTCTAATTTTTTAATCACTTGTCAAGGAAGAGGAGAAAGGGGTAATTGATACTCCTTAAGTTTCTGTAAAAAATGAATAAAAGGTAATAATCAGGTCCAATAAAGTAGAAATGAGGAATCAAGAGTCATAGAGAATAACATACTAAGGGTATCTTTCATATACCTGAGGGATCTTCATCATTCATAATGTCAAGCACACCAACATGACTTCATCAGTCTCCTCCTGAGTACTCTCACCAAATCATCAAAGCACTCTATAAAATAGGAGTTTTTAAAATATACTTAAGCATCTCTCAGTATAAAACAGAAATTATGAAAAGAACAAACATATATAAGTAAATTATTATATAACTCAAGGATCAAATATTCTTTTGTTGTACTTTTTTCAAAAATAGTCTTGGATCATTGATAATATACCTGATCAGTGATAGTTATCCATTGTGATATGTTCTTGCTGTTGGGAAGGTCAACATCCATTAGTCTCATCTTTTCCACTTGTTTCCACCAATTCCTGTCTTGCTGTAGCTGCTCATTTCCACATCCTGGAGGGTCAACATCCATCAGTCTTGTCTTTTCCACTTATTTCCACCAATTCCTGTCTGGTTGTAACTGCTCCTTTCCACATCTTGGAGGGTCAACATCCATCAGTCGTGGCATTTCCAGTTGTTTCCACCAATTCCTGTCTGGCTGTAGCTGCTCCTTTCCACATCTTCAAGGGTCAACATCCATCAGTCCTGGCATTTCCAGTTGTTTCCACCAATTCCTGTCTGGCTGTAGCTGCTCATTTCCTCACTGTGAAGGGTCAATGTCCATCAGGCTTGCCTTTTCCAGGTTTTCCCACCAATTCTGATCTGATCGTACCCGCTCATTTCCACACCTTGGAGAAGCAGCTAGGTTAAGGACTCCCATATTCCACATCCGCCTGTTCAGAGTTAAAACAAATGAAACTTAGATGATAAATATAATTGTTCTTTTCTTTAACACTCAAATACTTTTGTTTTCCATAGATAATGTAAATATAAATTGATGTACAACTTATCTAGCCTAAATAACATTTAACTGAATATAGAATGAAAGCTAACGATCTTGCTGTACTGAAATATCACTGACTAGTTTGACATAGTCTTTCTGTGGTGTAGGCATGGATCAAGCTATTACAATCATAGCTTATAAATATCAGAATATGAAACATAGCATATGACTAAGATGGAGACATTTTCCTGAGTATATTAAATTTTTTTCCCCAACTACATTGAGAATGCATGTCTATACCTTGTATAAACCCATAAGAAAGCATACTTCTACTGTAACATGCTATGATAACAGACAGAACCCCCAATTAATCCCAAAAGTTCAACAACTTATCAGCTTCACTAAAAATTCAGAGTTTTTAAACACATGTAACTTGTATCCCTACTATATTTTGAAAAGAAGTGAGAGTTGGTTGAGTGATGTCTTTTCTTTCCTCAATTTAGCATTACTTCAATGCGTATTACACCTTTTTCAGAAGTTAATAGAAAGACTGCATGAGAAGCATGAGAAACTCACTCCCGGCACTTTTCATGGAATTTTTCTCAAAGTAAACAGAGACAATTTCAGAATAAAAAGATATCCATTAGGGATGTTAATTTACTCAGACAGCTTAGTCAAATAGGCATTTTTGCGGAGGACCTTTCACAAAACGTACATTTAATAACTGTTTTTTTCATCGTGACATATTTTAAAGTATGTCCAAACTGTAGAATTTGAAGGCATGTTTGCCAACCAAAATCAAGATGCAAATAATTTTCGTTGAACAATTAACTAAGACCAGTTAAGCCTTACTCTCTGAGTTTTATGCACAAGAACACCGATTCAGTTGAAATAAATTAGGCAGATCCAATCTTATTACCTTGAATTTAGTAATAGAAATGAGTACTGTAGCAAATTTTAATAACCAAGTAAAAAAGTATTAGTTGATAGTCATGTATGATCAAATGATAGCTGAGTACTCAAATAGTCATTGACATCCCTGATATCCATATACTGTATCATTGAAACTTTCACAATTTTTGCAGCTGGACATATCTTTTTTAATTTTAATCCATCATGTGACAAACAGATCATGTAAGTGATGTTGCTTTGGCCAAACTCAGCAGAAACCCCTTTTTACTTATACAGACAGCAGAATTCCCATTCAACTAAAATTTCACAGATTAATTTTTTTAATATTGTATCTTTTTCATAAAATATATAATGGGCATACTTCCTATGAGAGTCCTTAACCTATCTGCAGCCTGCAGGGTCAACATCCATCAGTCTTGCCTTTTCCAATTGTTTCCACCAATTTCTGCAAGGATGCAAATCCCCTATCCACATCTTTGAAGAAAAACTTTGGCCAATCCTCTTCAACCTGTCAAGTACAAGTGTCTTTTTTTTACTTAATTCATACTATGTATGGCGCATAGATTAAATAAATATTAGCACTTATAAATTCATATTAAAAAAATGCAGATTTATTAGATATATAAGTGCATTACATCATATTTTTTTCTTAAAACTATTTATTTTCTAAAATTCTTAAATTTATTTATTTATTTGTCTTCAAGTATACGAAATTCAGGTAAATCAAGGTGCCCAGGATGTATTGTGCTATAAAACAAATTAATTATCAAAACATCTATTGTTATTTGCAAGTGTGAATAAGTGGAATTGAGATTTTTCAGAAGTGGGAATAGGTGGAAGACACCGAACACTTGACAGTGGTCCAGAAATTCAAAAATCTGGTAAAATACCCTTGCTTATTACTGTACTCTATTTGCTCTTACATGCCCATGAGCAAAGAAAATTTTCAAAGAATAATGCATTTTCACAATAGATTCACCATAGCCCTGCTCCCAACACCAGAATCCCTTATGCAGGGGCTATGAAATTCACAATTTTGCAAGAGGCACACTTGCTCATCATTACTATGCACTTAGTTTGCAAAATAAACAGGAGCCGAGAAGATTTTCAAAGAAGTTAAATGTATTTCCATTAGACATGTATAATCAATAGAGCACTGTCTTAGAACCAGATGCCCTAGACCCAGGGGGCTTAGAAATTCACTGTTTTAGAAGAAGCACCCATACTCATCATTATCATACACCATGTTTGCTGAATACCCAGAGGCATAGAAGAAGATTTTCAAAAAATCGATACAATTTCGCAATACCCGGTATATTCAACAGAGCCCTACCCCTTACAGTGTTCCAAGATTTCTTTTATATCTAGAGACAATTTCTACACATTCAACAAAAAATTCAGTAGATGTGTATCCTGACAAAGATTTTATTTATACCTCAGGGTTTATTCTAATCAAAGGTAATATATTTAGGAATTAAGTGAAATAAACACTAAAGCAATGCAATACCAACTATAAATTCAGTAATACAATGTACTTCGAGACACATTGATCTTGTTATTTACCTTACTATGCATTAGTTTATCAAGGTGGGCTCATGACATGCCTGTGGTAGTTCCTCTAGTCAAAGGTAACCCTACTGATAAAGGGATACTTGTTTAAATATATATTGTTTGCAGTGAGGAATTACTGTAAACCGACTTTTATTCACATGCAGAAAAATATCCATGAATTTGGCGAACTATGAATATTGAATAATAGTTGATTTACTGTCAAGTCTACTAAAACAATAGAAATACTTTGGAAATAAGGTATCATCTTAAAACTTTTATCGGGATGCAAGTACGTGTTGGCATGTGATCAAATCTACCACAAAGCCTTTTGGGCTTATAACTTATATTTACATTTGAGACTGATTTACAACGTAATGTTATGTACTTAAGTTTTAATCCAATAACATGATTTTTTTCAAACCTCAATGGTACAAATTGAATGTGTTGAACTCGTCTACCATTTATGATGTCACTGTGAAATTACGTCAATTGTTTATGACTGAACAATGAATTTAATTAAGGAAACATGACAAACCTGTTTTTACAGAGAATTAAATACGCCTTGTTTAGATATTGTTATATAAGGAAAAAAAAATTGTTAATGTAAATATTTAAGAATGAATGTACACAGTGTTATATCAGACTGCATAGAGGGCCCCCTGACTTACTTCTGTTTTCTGGTAAATCTCAAAGATGTAGATCCTGTAAGATAAGGTCTCTTCTTGCCAATTTTTTTTTCTCTTATTCATGTGTTTGTATAGTTCCGTGGCTCTGTGTGAGGACACAATTAAACTGAAGATCACTGCCAAGCAGAGCATCCCCTCATGACATCAAGAAATGCTAAAATAGAGTTTGGACCAATTTACAGAGCATTTATACTGGTCAGAGTTCACCATGAGTTGAAACATACAGGTATTATTTTTATTATGGATAATCCACTGTAGATGCCTAAGTATTCACGAGGAATTAATTATTGTGTAATTTCGAGAGAACATCAATGGCAAAATAAAATCACTGTATACAGAAAATTTTCCACCGTTTTATTTTCACCCTACACTACTCACGGATAGGCAAATTTAAGGGGCAAATTCAAAGAACACAGTATAATTTCGTAAACAGAACTGTGATTGAGCAAATTTAAAACAAAGCAGAATTGTTTGCAAAGGGCAAAAATAACACGGGGTGAAAATAACCCTGTATACAGTACTTTTTTTAATGGTTCTTAAATCTATGCAAGATCTCTAGAATTATTACTCTCACGATTTGACATTTAATGGCCATTTCATGATATTTAAAGTATTTGTGTAAAAAGGAATCTACAGTATAAAGTTAACATTCACAGTAGTAAAATACTGTACTTAAATCACTTTGTAAGAACTTTTGAATATAATCATGCAAGACCTTTGCCTTGCAAAAATCAGATTCTCACAAGTATTTGACTTAATGTAGATTTTACACAGCAACGACTGAAATTTATGAAAATTTTGCTTTACTTATAGCATCTTGCAAAAATATGCCAATTAATAGATAGGTGTTTCAAAAATTAAGTTATCTAATGAGCCGGTAATTAGACATATCCTGAGAAATAATTAACAAAAAAACTTTGAAGAAAAATAGAGATTGACCTACTGAAATAAGACAGAATCATGCCATGTCCTAGGATTCTCCTCATTCCATGCTGTTCCTCCTTATAGACCATAGCCAGTCCTAGCATTCCAGCGCTGAATCCATCGACGACTGTGGCTCTGAAACGAAAGTGGCAGAACAAGTGCAAAGGGGAGGGAGGAGGAGGGGTTAGTACTTAGTGGGTGGTGCAAACACAAAAAAATGAATGAAGGGAAAACTCTTACCTCACATTTCTTAAGAACTAAGAAATACCTCTTTTCCAGCAATGTTGGCATGCTGTTCCTCCTTATAGACCGCCGCCAGCCCTAGCATTCCAGCACTGAATCCATCGACGACTGTGGCTCTGAAACGAAAGTGGCAGAACAAGTGCAAAGGGGAGGGGAGGAGGAGGGGTTAGTACTTAGTGGGTGGTGCAAACACAAAACAATGAATGAAGGGAAAATGCTTACCTCACATTTCTTAAGAACTAAGAAATACCTCTTTTCCAGCGATGTTGGCATGCTGTTCCTCCTTATAGACCGCCGCCAGCCCTAGCATTCCAGCGCTGAATCCATCGACGACTGTGGCTCTGAAACGAAAGTGGCAGAACAAGTGCAAAGGGGAGGGGAGGAGGAGGGGTTAGTACTTAGTGGGTGGTGCAAACACAAAACAATGAATGAAGGGAAAACTCTTACCTCACATTTCTTAAGAACTAAGAAATACCTCTTTTCCAGCGATGTTGGCATGCTGTTCCTCCTTATAGACCGCCGCCAGCCCTAGCATTCCAGCGCTGAATCCATCGACGACTGTGGCTCTGAAACGAAAGTGGCAGAACAAGTGCAAAGGGGAGGGGAGGAGGAGGGGTTAGTACTTAGTGGGTGGTGCAAACACAAAACAATGAATGAAGGGAAAACGCTTACCTCACATTTCTTAAGAACTAAGAAATACCTCTTTTCCAGCGATGTTGGCATGCTGTTCCTCCTTATAGACCGCCGCCAGCCCTAGCATTCCAGCGCTGAATCCATCGACGACTGTGGCTCTGAAACGAAAGTGGCAGAACAAGTGCAAAGGGGAGGGGAGGAGGAGGGGTTAGTACTTAGTGGGTGGTGCAAACACAAAACAATGAATGAAGGGAAAACTCTTACCTCACATTTCTTAAGAACTAAGAAATACCTCTTTTCCAGCGATGTTGGCATGCTGTTCCTCCTTATAGACCGCCGCCAGCCCTAGCATTCCAGCGCTGAATCCATCGACGACTGTGGCTCTGAAACGAAAGTGGCAGAACAAGTGCAAAGGGGAGGGGAGGAGGAGGGGTTAGTACTTAGTGGGTGGTGCAAACACAAAACAATGAATGAAGGGAAAATGCTTACCTCACATTTCTTAAGAACTAAGAAATACCTCTTTTCCAGCGATGTTGGCATGCTGTTCCTCCTTATAGACCGCCGCCAGCCCTAGCATTCCAGCGCTGAATCCATCGACGACTGTGGCTCTGAAACGAAAGTGGCAGAACAAGTGCAAAGGGGAGGGGAGGAGGAGGGGTTAGTACTTAGTGGGTGGTGCAAACACAAAACAATGAATGAAGGGAAAACTCTTACCTCACATTTCTTAAGAACTAAGAAATACCTCTTTTCCAGCGATGTTGGCATGCTGTTCCTCCTTATAGACCGCCGCCAGCCCTAGCATTCCAGCGCTGAATCCATCGACGACTGTGGCTCTGAAACGAAAGTGGCAGAACAAGTGCAAAGGGGAGGGGAGGAGGAGGGGTTAGTACTTAGTGGGTGGTGCAAACACAAAACAATGAATGAAGGGAAAACGCTTACCTCACATTTCTTAAGAACTAAGAAATACCTCTTTTCCAGCGATGTTGGCATGCTGTTCCTCCTTATAGACCGCCGCCAGCCCTAGCATTCCAGCGCTGAATCCATCGACGACTGTGGCTCTGAAACGAAAGTGGCAGAACAAGTGCAAAGGGGAGGGGAGGAGGAGGGGTTAGTACTTAGTGGGTGGTGCAAACACAAAACAATGAATGAAGGGAAAACGCTTACCTCACATTTCTTAAGAACTAAGAAATACCTCTTTTCCAGCGATGTTGGCATGCTGTTCCTCCTTATAGACCGCCGCCAGCCCTAGCATTCCAGCGCTGAATCCATCGACGACTGTGGCTCTGAAACGAAAGTGGCAGAACAAGTGCAAAGGGGAGGGGAGGAGGAGGGGTTAGTACTTAGTGGGTGGTGCAAACACAAAACAATGAATGAAGGGAAAACTCTTACCTCACATTTCTTAAGAACTAAGAAATACCTCTTTTCCAGCGATGTTGGCATGCTGTTCCTCCTTATAGACCGCCGCCAGCCCTAGCATTCCAGCGCTGAATCCATCGACGACTGTGGCTCTGAAACGAAAGTGGCAGAACAAGTGCAAAGGGGAGGGGAGGAGGAGGGGTTAGTACTTAGTGGGTGGTGCAAACACAAAAAAATGAATGAAGGGAAAACGCTTACCTCACATTTCTTAAGAACTAAGAAATACCTCTTTTCCAGCGATGTTGGCATGCTGTTCCTCCTTATAGACCGCCGTCAGCCCTAGCATTCCAGCGCTGAATCCATCGACGACTGTGGCTCTGAAACGAAAGTGGCAGAACAAGTGCAAAGGGGAGGGGAGGAGGAGGGGTTAGTACTTAGTGGGTGGTGCAAACACAAAACAATGAATGAAGGGAAAACGCTTACCTCACATTTCTTAAGAACTAAGAAATACCTCTTTTCCAGCGATGTTGGCATGCTGTTCCTCCTTATAGACCGCCGCCAGCCCTAGCATTCCAGCGCTGAATCCATCGACGACTGTGGCTCTGAAACGAAAGTGGCAGAACAAGTGCAAAGGGGAGGGGAGGAGGAGGGGTTAGTACTTAGTGGGTGGTGCAAACACAAAACAATGAATGAAGGGAAAACGCTTACCTCACATTTCTTAAGAACTAAGAAATACCTCTTTTCCAGCGATGTTGGCATGCTGTTCCTCCTTATAGACCGCCGCCAGCCCTAGCATTCCAGCGCTGAATCCATCGACGACTGTGGCTCTGAAACGAAAGTGGCAGAACAAGTGCAAAGGGGAGGGGAGGAGGAGGGGTTAGTACTTAGTGGGTGGTGCAAACACAAAACAATGAATGAAGGGAAAACGCTTACCTCACATTTCTTAAGAACTAAGAAATACCTCTTTTCCAGCGATGTTGGCATGCTGTTCCTCCTTATAGACCGCCGCCAGCCCTAGCATTCCAGTGCTGAATCCATCGACGACTGTGGCTCTGAAACGAAAGTGGCAGAACAAGTGCAAAGGGGAGGGGAGGAGGAGGGGTTAGTACTTAGTGGGTGGTGCAAACACAAAACAATGAATGAAGGGAAAACTCTTACCTCACATTTCTTAAGAACTAAGAAATACCTCTTTTCCAGCGATGTTGGCATGCTGTTCCTCCTTATAGACCGCCGCCAGCCCTAGCATTCCAGCGCTGAATCCATCGACGACTGTGGCTCTGAAACGAAAGTGGCAGAACAAGTGCAAAGGGGAGGGGAGGAGGAGGGGTTAGTACTTAGTGGGTGGTGCAAACACAAAACAATGAATGAAGGGAAAACTCTTACCTCACATTTCTTAAGAACTAAGAAATACCTCTTTTCCAGCGATGTTGGCATGCTGTTCCTCCTTATAGACCGCCGCCAGCCCTAGCATTCCAGCGCTGAATCCATCGACGACTGTGGCTCTGAAACGAAAGTGGCAGAACAAGTGCAAAGGGGAGGGGAGGAGGAGGGGTTAGTACTTAGTGGGTGGTGCAAACACAAAACAATGAATGAAGGGAAAACTCTTACCTCACATTTCTTAAGAACTAAGAAATACCTCTTTTCCAGCGATGTTGGCATGCTGTTCCTCCTTATAGACCACCACCAGCCCTAGCATTCCAGCGCTGAATCCATCAACGACTGTGGCTCTGAAACTTTTTTAATACCTAAATAAAGCCTCGTTGTTTTTTTTTTGGTTCATTGTCTCATATTTACTGTAGATTCCTTATTTTACGCAAGTACCTAATATCGCGAAAGGGCTCTTAGACGCCAAATCGGGAGAGCAATAATTCGTGAATGGACGGTTTACAACGAGATTTAATATTAATTTCAACACCATAAAATAAAAGGGAGTAATTTTATTTCGTGAGTGGTGCTCCTCGCGTAATTACGCGTTAATTAATTCCTCGCGTATATTTAGGAATCTACAGTAGTAAATAAATATGATCTCTTAAATATTTATAGAATAAATGCCTTTACATGAGATTTATTGATGAATGGAAATTTCTGATGTAATCCTTTATGGAATTAAACAAGGTAAACCAAGACCAATATGAGGGGAAAATGTGAAATTCAAGGTCACAGGGAAGGCCAAGATAAAAAAAAAACAAAAATGATTAACTTAAATTTCTCGCACGGTGTGAGTCAAACCAATTTTATCAGTAAGGAAAGTTTGATAAAAGAAATCTGAAACCTTTTTTTTTTTAAATGGTAACTGTAAAAATGGTGAGAGCAAGGGTATTCTGTTCATTGCCAATGATAACAGGTAATCATCAAGGTGTCAACTGTGCTACCAGATGTAATTGTTCCTTATTTTCATTAAAAGTGTATGTTATCAAAGACGGAGATGTCAGATGTGGAAATTTTGCAAAAAGGATATGGTATATAATGACATGGATATACTTAATTAATACTTTGCTGCAAATAAGTTTACAAGTTCCTTACACAAAACAATTCCTCCATAAACAATACAGTGATCAGGAAAAATATAACTACAGTACTCTATTATTAATTTAATGAGGAAAGGGAAACAATTTCATGGTAGCTAATGAAGAGTCTGAAAAGGGAACTCTGCAGATTATGAAATTGAGTGACTCAGCAAATCCTGCATTAACATCAGTATATAAACATAGATAATCAAAGATTATGAAGCTCACCTCGACGAATGTTGCAGTCTATAAGTAAGGCAAATTTCACATAAATTTTTTTTTCTAGTTAGGGTACATCCCAAGATCAGTATCCATGCAAGTTTGGTTTAAGTAGGACTTATAGTGACTTGGAAATAGACCTGCTCAAAAAACTTTTGTTTGTATGTTGTTTAACGTCCCTCTCGAGAATTTTTCACTCATATGGAGACGTCACCACTTGCCAGTGAAGAGCTGCAAATTTTGTCCTATACTCGGCACTTACGGCCATTGAGCAGTGAGGGGTCTTTTTCATGCCA